TTTGAATTCATCACCAAAGATGACGAATCTTTCAAGGCAATAAGATCAAGGCTTAAAATTATGCAATTAAATATTTATAACAGCAAAGAACTAAAAGAACACAAGCATGTGATTATGATGACATGTGATGTAGCTGACAATCAGTTAACTAGTAAATACTTTGGAGAACGTCCAATGTCGGATTATTACTACAAACTACCGGATCCTATAACAACTGAATATGTCAGGCTAGAAGCTAGTTTTCTAAATCCATTACTAGAAAGGCTGCAATATTTTATGGATCGATCATTTCAAGCTGGTCTGCCTCAAATTTGGAAAGTTTTTGCTGGCCAAGAATCTCGTGGATTGTTTAAAAGTACAACTGAAGATGAAGTTGCTTATCTTAAACTTCAAGACTTACAGCAAGTCTTTTGTATTCTTGGCATTGGCTGTGCCATAGCAAGTTTAGTGTTGCTTCTTGAGATTCTCTTTCATGACTGTTTTTTAAGATTAAAGCTTCGTCATCTTACAAGTAAGTTGCAGATTCGTGTCAATCAGATGGCATATAAAAGGAAGCAATTGGATACAAAATATAAGACAGGTGCTCTGTACTACATTATTCATAGACACCAGAAAGTCAAGCGATTGAAGCCGAAGAAGTTGAAAGTTCGACAAATTTTTGTTCAATCAAATTAAAAATTGATTAAAAAAATAAGCTTTAGCATTCATAGCTGCGCAAAAGTTGATATCCGAGCAATAAATACAGGAAAGAGTGCGACAGGAACATTGAATGTCATAAAAATCAATAGCTGTTATACAAACTCATGTAATTTCAGTAGTGACAGTGAATTATTTATGTAGCTTTTGAGCTTTGTTCAATAAAGTTGACAAAAAAAGATGAAATTTGCAATTTTTTTTGTAGCTTTTACAACTTTGTTCATCCACAACTCAGCATTTCTGTACAGTTCATCAACCAATGACCAAAACTTACCAAAAAGCATCTGCAAAACTACCAATGAAGTCACAATTGCAAAAACTGACACACAAGACATCCTCATCGGAAATTTAGGCAGTCAAATGTGGTCATTGACTGTCAATGACATTATTCAGTGCATAAATCATGGAAAGGCAGTGATAATCTCAGATTTTCGGACGACAATCAAGAGAAATAGTTTAAGGAAGGCATCTGTTGTGATTCTGACCTTTGATAAGTTAGATCAGGTAAATTTACAATTATTTTAGCTCAATATCTTTCAGAATTTCTAATTTAAAAATCAGCGCATTGTAGAAAAGCTTGTCAAGGATCATCAAGAATCAACAATCTGGCATCACATGGCTAAAATTATCTGTATTGTACCCAGCTTTACATCTTCTTATGAAAAATCAAATATTTTGAATATTTTTACTGATTTTGGTTTCCTCAATGTTGCAATAGCTCATAAAACATCAAACAGAGATGTCACGTACCAGATCTTCAAACTTTCAAGAACCCCAATGAGCTATTCTAAAATATTTCCAGACAAACTCAAAGATCTTGATGGATATCAATACAACATTCCAGTCTATCATCAACCACCAAAAATTATAATCCACCCAAAGTATATAAAACCTGTCATGGCTTACTTTCTTGATTCACTCGGCTCCGTCCAAAATTCACAATATCAGATCATTCGGTTGGCTAGTAATTTAGATTTGGAAAAGTTTTGGGAGAATCGTGACATGGATTTGACATTGAATACCGGATCAGTTTTTAACACACCTGATCCAAAGCTTTTGACGTATGAGAAGCAAGGCTACTGTGCTTTAGTTCCAATTCCTCCTAAAATTCCACTTTATCACTTAATTTTCATTAAACCATTCGATAGCCTAATCTGGTTATGTTGTGGACTCTCATTCATTAGTTCTGTTGCTGTCTGGTGGATGTATCATGGCCGTGGTGCTGTTGATTCTCATTGGCAACTTGCTGTTGGCATTTTCATGATGTTTATTGGTCAAGGTGCTGATTTTTCTCGTCAGAACCGTTTTTTGCTTGCTGTGCTGCTCAACATCATCTGCTTATCTGTGTTCCTTCTCAGCAATTTGTACGAAGGTGCAATAACATCCTTTATGATTGAACCAGGCCGTGAGAGTCGAATGAAGTCTGTTGATGACCTTATAGCTTCTGATCATGAGATCACAACAGACGAACGCTTTCAATTTCTTATGAGAGATGACGAAAGGTATGAAGCTATTAAGTCAAGGATTACTTTATCATACAGCACAAGTGTAAGCAGTTTAGAGCATGAAGTAATCAGACAACATTATGTGTTTATCAGACTATGTGATCTTTCGGAACTAGACATGAGTTCTGAATTAAAATCTGGTGGATATGTCTCGGATTATTATTACATGCTGCCTGAAAAGCTGATCTGGCATTATGTTCAGTTAGAAGCAAGCTACAGGAATCCATTTGTGGAACGACTTCAATATTTTATGGACTTATCATTTCAAGCAGGTTTGCCTCAAATGTGGAAAGTATTTGCAGCACAACAAGAAAATAAAGGAACAAGTGACGATGGACAGGATTATTTAGAACTTAAAGATCTTGGTTCTATTTTTGGAGTTCTTTTTATTGGATTAACTTTAGCATTCTTTGTTTGGCTTTTGGAAATCTTTTATCATGACTGTATTAGGCACATTAATTTCCATGACGTAGGAAGTCGATTAAGGACATTCATTTTTAAGTGGAAAAAGAGACAAAATGTAAAAGTCAGGAAAATTATTGTCAAGAAAAAAAGGAGAGACTAAACAGCTTTTAAGTTGAATTTATCAAAGCATGCATATTTACGCGTGGAGCTTGGACTCAAACCCAACTTTAAAAAAACTTTAGCATTCAGACCTTAAAATCCATAGCTGGGCGTTATATGCAAAGAAAAAGGCTGGTGATGGTTAAATATGAGAGCCCACTGCACTCAAACCTAGACTCAAAGTTTATAGTTGGATCTGAACCACTCCTTTGATGACATTTCTGTCTGTAGCCTACAAAAGAAGGTTGTGAGCCTTACATATGATTAGAAAAAGGAGATGTGAAAAATTTCCCTAACCAAGTCCCGAGCCCATGATCGCCCAAGTACTAAACCATTTCGCCAACGAGCCACTTCAGCTCATCGACCTCCATTTAACCTTCATCCCATTCTAAGTTGTCTCATGGAAAAGGTTAATTATAGTGCAGGTAAAGTTACCAATCCTTCGCTCCAAAGCAGTCCAAAAAATATATCTATTGAAAGCTCATCAGATAATGAAGGTCTAATAACGCTTACTCAAGCATTAGTAAGGCAAGACATGAGTCTTGATCCTTCAAAGCGTTCTACGACCTTAACAATTCCTAAGGTGATTTTCAGCATAAACACTACTCTCAATCCTATGACAACGATTAAAACCATTACATTGGAATTCATTTTGTGAAGCTTTATTGTTCTTAGTAAATGAAAATAAAAGAATTGATTTTGGCAGTTTTGTGCACTCTTATTAACTTTAACTTATCATTCAGCTCAAGAATTCTTCTCAGATCCACAGCTGATGATGCCGAACTGTCGACAAGCATCTGCAAAATCACTAATGGCATCTTAAAATCACAAAATGATACAAAAAACATCCTCATTGGAAGCTTGGGAGGCAGTCATTTATCATCGACAGTTGATGATTTTATTGAGTGCTTTGATGATGAATATGCTGTTGTGGTTACGAATTTTAAGATCATCATCAAGGAACAGAGACTATGGAAGGCTTCAGTTATTATCTTAAAGTTAAACTTTGTGAATAAAGTAAGTTGATATTATTGTGATATTAATTTGTATGATGATATAGCCCAATGGTATGGTTCGAGGGTGCATTTTAAGCTTTTTTAAATAAATGGAGAAATTGATGTGAGAGGTAAGATGCCGTTGAGGATATGGAAGGGGCCTGGGTCACTGTTAGCTGTTTTCAAGAAAATTTATGCCTAGTTTAAAGTTGACAATCTTTTGACTTTAACCGATAAACTTTATCCCGACTTTACCCCCCGGCCTCCAAGATCTTCCTGGCTACCCACCTGGTGCCACACATTCCCGACTTTTTTTTATCAATGTCCCCTATTTTCTTGAAAAATGCTTGAAAATTTGGTCTGTCCCGCTTTTTCAGAGTTAAAATTGAGACATGTTCCACTTTTTGGCCAAAAATCGATAAAATCCCATAAATAATCTACCTAATGTCTGTTCTATTATTTGAAACCTTCTGCCAGGATATGCCTTCGGGATATTATAGACCTTAACGTCCTTTTAAACACATCCAATGAAAGGAATTCTTCGGTCTTCCTCGTGATACACGTGCAGAAATTAATTCAATTTTTTTTTTCAGATTGTAATCCAAGAACTCACAACTAGTCAGCATTTCTCAACAGTTTGGAACCACATGGCTAAGGTCATATGTATTGTACCTGTGACAACTTCTTTTAATAATCGCATTTGGCTTTTGGGTGTTTTCAAGTTTTACGGCTTTCTTAACGTTGCAGTTGTTCATAAAACACCAGCTGGTTCTATTCAATACGAGATTATTTGGAATTTGGCAATGGATCTTAAGATTATCAAAAATCCAACTGACAGTTCTGATGTTTTTCCAGATAAGCTTAAAAACATGGTTGGATATCAGTATAGAGTACCTGTGTATAATCAACGACCATGGGTTGTCAGCACAACATTGTCAGCAATGAACCAAAGCTTCTTACCTATTACATTAAAAGCTATTGCATACTAGTTCCAATTCCACCAAAGACTTCCTTATTTCAGCTTATTATTATTGAACCATTTGATGGACTCACTTGGATGTTCTTTGTCCTCTCGATTTTATGTTGTGTTGCTGTCTTTTGGATGTTTCATAATCGTGGTGCTGTTGATTCTCTTTGGCTGCTTGGTTATGGAATGTTTGTGTATTTTGTTGGTCAAGGTGTCGATTTTTCTCGTCGGAACCGAGCAGTTCTGACAATCCTGATTCAGTTGATCATTCTGATGATCTTTGTCCTCAGCAATGCTTATGAAGGTGTCATCACATCCTTCATGATCCAGCCGATGCATGAAAACCGACTTGAAACTATGGAGCAGGTGTTGGCTTCTAAATACAAAATTATGACAGATGATGCATTTAAGTATGTCATTAGGAACTACGAAGAGTTTCAAACTCGTGAATTGGAGGAACGAGTATTTCATAATAAAAGTGAACAAGTCACATTAATCTCACAACTGAATCATGTGATCATACGAGAATGTGGATCAGCAGAACTTAGCTTATTTTCTCATCTACAAAATGGACGAACAACTGCTGAATACTTTTACATGATCCCGGAATCTATAGCACCAAAATTTGTCTTTTTGGAAGCAAGCTATTCAAATCCGTTCATTGAAAGGATGCAATATTACATGGATTTATGCTTTCAAGCTGGGCTTATTCAAATTTGGAATGTTTTTGTTAAGCAAGATCGTCATAAGGCATCTCAAGATGCGGCATTCAATGAAGTCGAGTATTTAAAGTTGAAGGATCTTTCACAAGTTTTTGGAATTCTTTTTATTGGCTATGGATTGTCATGCATTGTACTGCTTATTGAGATTTTCTTTCATGATTGCTTTATGAGATTAAAGCTTCGTTATCTTGCTAGTAAGTTGAACAATCAAGTCAATCAGATGGCATACAAGAAGAAGCAAAAAGATCCAACATATCAGAGAGGTGCTCTATACTACATCATTCATAGACACCAGAAAGTCAAACGATTAAGACCAAAGAAATTGAAAGTTCGACAGATTTTTGTTCAGCCTAAGAATCAAAATGAATAAATGTGTCGTTATTGTTCATAAAAACCCTACCAAATTGAGGGAAAGAGAAGCGTTCTATCATTAATGAACACCTTTTAGCTGTCACTAGCTTTCTGAGTCAAAAAAAATCAATAACTTTCTACTATTGATTCAAAAAAAGTTCATTTTGAATGTCACAAACCCATCCCGTTTCTTATCTGATTAACGAATGTAAAGCTTAATAGCTCTATCAGTATATAAATGATTAAAAATGTTTTTTCACAATCACTGCGATTTCTTTTGTTGGTGCAAACGTGCAAAATAAAGTTTTAATAAATCTTGAATATGAAAATTTCAGTTTTTTGTGCTCTTTGTTCATCGTTTCTTATACTTTCTTCAAGCTTTCCATTCAATATCTCAGTTAATGATGAAAATCTACCAAAAAGCATCTGCCGAATAATAAATGACGTCACAAGCTCAAAGTCTGAGACATAAGACGTCCTCATTGGAAGTTTAGGTGCAGAAACTCAATCATCGGAAGTGATTAGCGTCACTCAGTGCATTAGTTATGAGCATGCTGTTGTTGTTGCTGATTTAGGGTTTAGAATTAAGCAAAAAAACTTGTGGAAAGCAGCTGTTATTGTTCTGGATTTAAAGGAGACTGATGAGGTAAGAACGGGATAGTGTTAATCTTCAAGTGGCGTATTCAAAAGAGTCTTGCCCCCCCCCCCCCTTAACGTTTTGAATTGCAGCAAGAGCACGGATCAAAAGGTATGAGGGGGGCAAGACCCTCCTGGTCACTCCACTGTCACAATGCGTTCCTTCTATTAAAATCGGCTAATAAAAAGCTTATTTTTCTTATAGAAACTCATCATGAACTTCATAACCAGCAATTTATTCTCCCCCGTTTGGCATCACATGGCAAAAATAATTTGTGTCGTGCCTGCATCAACAACATTGATTCAAAGACTTAAAGTTCTTGAAATATTCACAAACTCAGGTTTTCTGGATTTTACAGTTGTCCACAAAACTGAGTTTAATGATATTTTATACGAAATTTCCGGATCAATGACTCGAAATGTCAAAAGCTTTTTAAATCCCACAGATGCACGAGTAATTTTTCCTGATAAGCTCGTTGACATGAAAGGATTTACTTATAAAATTGTCTCATATCATCAACCACCATTCGTACAGATTAAAAGCAATCAAGTTATTTCTCATATGGCACTCTACATCCAAGCTTTATGTCAAGCTCAGAATAGCAACTATCAAGTTGACTTTTTAGCGAATCCAGCACATGTCAGTAATTATTGGATTGAACGAAGAATGCATTTGACAATTAATACAGCAACAAAAGTAGACTCTCCACTTCCAAAGCTGATTAATTATGAAAAGAAAAGCTACTGCGCTCTTGTGCCTGTTCCTCCAAAATCTTCATTTTTCCAGCTTATTATTGTCAAACCTTTTGATGCGCTCACATGGATGCTTTTTTTGCTTTCTGTCATTAGTGCTGTTTTTGTGTGGAGAATATATTATGGTCGTGGTGCTGTAGATTCACATTGGCAACTTGCAGCTGGTATTTTTATGATATTTATCGGTCAAGATGCTGGTTTCTCCCGTCAGAATCGTTTTGTGCTTGCTGTGCTGCTCAACATCATCTGCTTGTCTGTATTCTTGCTTAGCACTTTCTATGAAAGTGCCATAACATCCTTCATGATTGAACCTGGCCATGAAAACCGACTTAGGACTGTTGATGACCTTCTAGCTTCTAAATACAAAATTATGGTAAGCAAAGCATTTGAATTCATTGTCGAAAATGATAAAAGGTTTCAATCAGTTAAATCTAGAACAAACTCATCTGGGTTCCTTATAAGTTCCAATGATGAATCAAATTTGATTCAAAATGATTACATTTTTGTTAAAATCTGTGAAACAGCTGAGAACCTTTTGACTAAAAGATTCACTAATGGAAGATTATTGTCAGATTACTATTATTTGCTACCCGAGGAACTAATCTGGCAGTATGTGGAACTTGAAGCGAGCTACTTAAATCCATTTCTTGAGAGATTTCAGTACTATATGGATTTATGCTTTCAAGGTGGCTTGCAACAAATGTGGAAAGTGTTTGCATCCCAAAACTATGCTTATAAATCAATAATCAAGTCAGATGAGATAAAGAGCTACCTGGAATTTGAGGATCTTCGAGCTGTCTTTGCTGTTTATTCTATTTTATGTACTGTATCGATTGTTGTGGTTTTATTTGAGATATTTTATGATGATTTTTTGAGATTTATAAGAATGAGTAAAATTCTAAGTAAAATTTGGAGTTGCATGCTTAAAAAGCAATTGATTAGAAGAAAGTCAAGGCCACAGATTCGAAAGATTCGTGTACAACCTCGGCTAGTACACAATTAATTAATTACCATTCATTAAAACTAGCTCGAAGTTGAGTTTAGATGCAGAAAAAAAGGCAACATTGTAGTTTCAAAGGTTGCTGCACTAAGCTGTCATTAAATTCCTTAATAGTTCATCTACAAGCTACTTATAAGCTTCAATAGAACTGCAAAACAGGTGTTAATTAATTGACAATTTTAATCTTTTCTTAAAAAATCTTTTTTTCGCACCAGAAGCATTTGTCTACGATTTCGCTAGCTTGTTGGTTGTGTTTTTGTGTATCTAGTAACTTTATTAATAAAAAAATTCAAATTTTTAACAAAAAATGAAATTAGCAAATTTATTTATCCTTTTTACAACTTTTTGCATCATAGATTCATCATTTAGCACAAAATTTCACTTCAAAACCTTAATTGATGTTAAAAAATTATCAAATAGCATCTGCAAAGTTGCAAATGACTTGATAAACTTAAAAACTCACACACAAGACATCCTGATTGGAAATTTGGGAAGGAAATCTTGGTCACAAACAATTAATGATATTGCTAAGTGCATTGGTGATGGGAACGCTATGGTTATTAGTGACTTAAAGCAACAAATTACTGAGATGAAGTTGAGGAAAGCAACGCTAGTGATTTTGACATTTGACTACTTTAATGGGGTAATTTACAAAAAATTTAAGTTTAACTTGCACTTTTAGTAGATTTGATGTCAGTTCAATTCAGTGTTGTCCAAACTGTGTGCCGCAGCACACTATTGTGCCGTAGAAATTTTTTGTGAATGACGCAAGCCGCATGCTGTTTACGACTTTGGCTTATCCCTAAGGCGTGCTGTGGCTCAAAAAAAGTTTGGACAGCACTGGTTTAAATGCTTGACTCAAGGCTAAGACTTAAGATTTATTTTAAGAAGTTCTAACCTGAAAGTATGCTTCATTTTTATAGTCAGTCTAAGGTTCAATGAAACTACATTTAGTTTCATACTTAAGTAATTAGACCCAACCCACCACAATGGTAAACTTTTGATGTTCAGACCTTAAGATTCATACCTACGCGTTATGGGCATTGCAAGGCTAATGATAGTTTTAAACGAGAGAGGGTTCGTCAGACCTCCCGCTCAAAACTAGACATACAGTTATTAATTGGATCCGAACCACTTCTTTTGATGATATTTCTGTCTGTAGCTCTCAAAGGAAGACTGTGAGCCTCATTTTCAGTGCATATGATTCCAAAAAGAGACAACTGGAAATTTTCCCATGCCTAGTCTCGAACCCATGATCGTTGTATCAGTATGGCAATAATTAAGTACCGAAGCATTCCACCACCGAGCCACTTCAGCTCATCATGATATATAGTTTGTGATAAAGTACATTGAATTTCATTTCTAGTGTCCAAGCCCCAGGAACCAGTCTTATGGATCATTGAAAATAAATTCCTAATTCCACTTCTTGCCACACCTTTAAGTAGGTTTTTACTAAAGCTCGTCTATTTAAATCAATTTATTTTTTTTTTAATCAATATAGCAACAAATCAGATCGATTGCAGTTGATCATCACTTTTCAACCGTATGGCATCACATGGCCAAAATAATTATCATCGTTCCATCGTCAACAACTTTTGCATCCCGATCATTTATTCTCAGCGCTTTTAAAGGTTTAGGTTTTATTGATATTGCAGTAGTTCATGTAACAACTGAGAATGAAGTTCGATCAGAATTTCAGTTTAATCTTTTACTGGACAACATGGCTGTACATTATAATCCAGAAAATGCAAGTCAGATGTTTTATGATAAACTTAAAAATATGCATGGATATAAATATTTTATTCCAATTACTGAGCAGCCTCCGTTCATTGAATTTTTTCCAACATTGAAAAATTCCCCGATGGTCTACTTCCTCGATGCTCTCAAAAAAATACAAAACTCAAATTATCACTTACATTTTCTTAAAGACCAAGTTGATCTTAAGAATACATTTGTACGCAGAGATATGACTTTGACTTTAAATTATGGATACATTGGTGCAATTGAGCCGCGATTGCAAACTTACGAGCAAATTGGATTTTGTGCATTGATTCCACTTCCACTTAAAACTTCACTATCTCAGCTGATTTTTATTGAACCATTTGACGGACTCACCTGGATGTTTTTTGCAATCTCAGTCTTAGGATCTGTTGGTGTTTGGAAGCTATTTCGTGGTCATGGTGCTGTCGAGTCTCCTTGGATTTTTGTGTACGGAATGTTTGTATATTTCATTGGTCAAGGTATTGACTTCTCAAGACGAAATCGAACAGTTCTTACAGTTTTGATTCAATTGATCATTTTGATGATCTTCGTCCTGAGTAATGCATATGAAGGTGTCATTACATCCTTTATGATTCAGCCACCATTCGAAAATCGACTCAAAACTGTCGATGATTTCATAAAATCCGATTTTTATATTTTAACAGACGAAACATTTGCTATGAAGTCAAAAGATGACGAAAAACTTGCTAAAATCTCGTCAAGATTGAATTTCTCACATAATGAACTTTATTATGATGACATAAAAGAAGCGCGACTAGCAATCGTTAGATTTTGTGATGTATTAGAAATGGATTATTATGATGCTTTTGAAGATGGCGAAAGAATTTCCGATTCATATTATATCCTGCCAGAGAAACTATTTACATATTATATAGAGCTAGATGCAAGCTTTGCTAATCCATTCCTTCAACGATTTCAATATTATATGGATTTATGCTTTCAAGCTGGATTGCCACATATATGGAAAATATTTGCTGATAAGGAGCATTACGGCAATCAACAGACAACTGATCGAGAGATTTTGGAGCTTAGAGATCTCAAAATAATGTTTGGTATATTATTAGGTGGCTGTGGACTTGCTGGTGTTGTGCTGTTCATTGAGGTTTTGCATTTTGGGTTCTTAGGAAGTTTAAGCTATCGCAATGTTTTATGGTTAATGTGGAATCGATTAAAAGCTTTGTGTTGGACGAAGAAGAATAGAAAGTCGAAAATTCGGATATTTGTGCATCGACCAGACGATGAGCGTATTTAAAATTCATTATTGTTCTTATAAGTCAGTGATGCAGGCAAGAGTCAACTGCTAAACTGATAAAATCAGGTAGGTTTTAAAAAAAATTAAATGCGGACATATTCACACCGTACAATCAAAAGCCTCATGGATAGACAAAGCTTCGCTCAGCATAAGTTTAAAACTTGACGAACCAGCTGAGCTTTAATCAGCATAAGTTTGAAGGTATAAAGTTCATTTTAAAATAGACTAAACTATTATATTGTTCGTTCAGTGAAAGGACATTCGCAGTTTTTATTAAAGGTCAGTTTTTAAAAATCAACATAATCAAATTCAGAATGCCACAGGGAGCAGTGCTTTAACCAACTATCTACAACATCTTCACGCATGATGATATACCCAACAGAACGTATAGAAACTTTGTGTATTAAGTATTATGTGTTACGTGTAAATGTAAATAAAAAAAAAATTAATTTAAAAAAAGCTTTACTTTAATATTCATTGTTATGCGAAAATCATAATCGTTAATTTTATATGCAATATTAAACCTTAAAAATCTGAATTATATATCAAGCTTAGCTTGACTGAATATCATAACAGTCGATTTCAGTTGTACAAAAGTTGAACTTAGTAAATATCGATGCAGGTTGCACCATTTTTCGCAATTTTTTCGGCAATTTTCCTCATCAACTCATCAATCAGCACTGACCCCATCCTAAAATCCACAACCAGTCACCAGAAGTTGCCAATAAGCATCTGTAAAATCACAAATGACGTCATTAGCTCAAAAGTTTACACACAGGACATCCTCATTGGTAATTTTGGTAGTAAAGTTTGGCTTACAACAGTCAATGACATAGTTGAATGCATTGATGATAGAGCAGCTGTTGTTGTTACCGACTTTAAAACTGAAATTAAAGAAAAAAGTTTAAGAAAAGCATCAATCATTATAATGACATTCAGTAAGCCTAGTAAGGTAATTATTATTTAATTTGTGTCTGTTAACTTAGCTGTAAAAGTGGTGAAATGGTATCATTGGCCTAAATGGTAGAACGTTGGAATTCGTGCAAAAGGTCGCAGGTTCAATCCCAGGCCATGTCTAATTTTCGAAGCTATTTTTCCATTTCACCGTTCTAGTTACAAAGCTCGGTTCGTGTGTTCGGTGCTGTATTGATGTCTTTGGCACAGAATATGCCTCCTTTGCTAGGTATACAAGGAAATACTAGTATCTGGATGACTTCCTTACGGCATCTTGTGCACACAAATTGTGACATTGCAGGGTACATCAGGTCTTTAAACTTCCTGGTGTCTTTGCAATGTGCAGAGCTTGCAAAAGTGGTTCGGATCCCACTATAAAATATACAATACATTCTTTACAAATGGAATTGCAGTGCCTCCAGCTAAAAGGCTGGGTCCTTCATAACTAAGCTGTCCTAATGATCAATTTTAACTTTTTTTAGCGAATCATAAAAGAAATTGTGACTATACATCAAAAGTCAACAGTTTGGCATCACATGGCTAAAGTAATTTGCATTGTACCAAGCCATTTGACCTTAGACGAGCAAATGGACATCTTAGACTCATTCTTTAATTTTGGCTTTTACAATGTTGTAGTTGTTGATATAACAAAAACTGAAAAAATTTTGTATGCAATTAAAAAGTCACATGACGAAATAAAATTGCTGACAAATCCAAGAATAGCTTCAACAGTTTTCCCTGATAATTTAAAAAATCTTGATGGATATAAGTACAGAATTCCGATTTATCATCAGCCACCTAAAATTCAGATCTATCCGAACTATAATCGACCAGCAATGGAATATTTCTTTTGTGCAATTCAGTCAATCCAAAATGCACAATATGAGATAATTTGGTTACCAAAGATGACTGATTTGGAAAAGTTCTGGCAACGTCGTCAAATGGATTTGACCTTCAATACTGCATCATATTTTGTCACATCGGAACCAAAGTTGTTTACGTACGAAACCAAAGGATACTGTGCAATGGTTCCGATTCCTCCAAAAGTTCCACTTTATTATCAGATTTTTATTAAACCTTTAGATGGTCTAACATGGATTTTGTTTGGAGTGTCAATTGTTAGTTCCGTTGCTGTTTGGAGATTGTATCGTGGTCGTGGTGCTGTTGATTCTCATTGGCAACTTGCTGCTGGCATTTTTATGATATTTATCGGTCAATGTGCTGATTTTTCACGTCGAAATCGCTTTATTCTTGCTGTGCTGCTCAACATCATCTGCATGTCTGTATTTTTGCTTAGCAATTTATACGAGGGAGCTGTCACGTCATTTATGATTGAACCAGCGCATGAAAATCGACTCAAGACTGTTGATGACCTTTTGGCTTCTAATTTACAAATTTCCTTTGATAGTGGTTTTACATACCTTGTAAGAGACGACAAGAGATATCAAGCAATCAAGTCAAGAGTTAAAATGTTGAGTGCCTTATTTGCTAAGCGTTTAGGAGAGGAAATAATATTACAAAATTATGTTTTTGTAAGGTCTTGTGATCTTTTGGAAACAGATTTAGCATTTCCTTTAAGAAATGGCCAACATGTCTCTGACTATTACTATATGCTGCCTGAAAAGTTAACTTGGCATTACATTCAATTGGAAGCGAGCTATTTAAATCCATTTTTGGAACGGCTTCAATATTTTATGGATCTGTCATTTCAAGCTGGACTCCCTCACATGTGGACAGTTTTTGCTGATCAGAATAGATTTAAGGCAAGCAATATTGGCTTAACTGAAGGAAGCAACTATCTAGTGCTAAAAGATCTCGGACCTGTTTTTGCAATTCTCTTAATTGGCCTAATTTTGTCACTTTTGTGTCTTTTGATTGAGATCTTTCATCACGATTGTATCAGATTTTTTAGCATTTGCAACATTTTGCGACGGGTCAAAACTTGGGTATCCAAAAAGTTTATTAAAGCTCAAAAAGGCACTTTGGTAGTCCGGCAAATTAAAGTTCAACCAATACAATCAACTTAAAAAAAATGAAGCCATAAAAGTTTAAAGTTCGAACTTAGTTTAAAGCTCTTAAAGTAATAGAAACAATTTTACTTATGGATTTACAATTGACACGATTAATTTTACAAATTTACATGCATTACGATTGCAATTATGAAAGAAATTTAATTTCATAAATTACCGATTATTTATTTGTAAATTATTGCACTTTAAGCTCACAATCAATTGCAACAAGCTGTCTTTCAAAATGTAATGAAAATATTTCAAATTTTGGCTCCATTTTATTTACTTTTCGTTCTCAACTCGACTCTCAGCATCAAATTCATCCTCAAAAATGACAAACAATTGTCAAACAATGTCTGTTAAGTCACCAAAGACATCAAATGGTCTAAAAGTGACACTCAGGATGTCCTAATTGGAAATTTAGGTAGGAAAATGTAGTCATCGACTGTCAATGACATTGCTGGAACTATTGGACAAGACAGTGCTATAGTTGTCAGTGACTTCAAGGAGCCATTGACTGAAAAGATGTTGATGAAAGTAATTGTTATTATTTTGGCTGTTGGATACACTAATAAGGTAAATTGGAAGAGAGTGTAAATTACGAAGAGAGTGGCCACTGTGCCTTAGTTCCATTACCACCTAAAGTTCCACTTTTTCAGTCAATTTTCGATGGTCTCACTTGGCTGTTCTTTGTTTCAACTATGGCTTGCTCAGTTGCTGTTTGGTGGTTGTTCTATGATTGTGGTGATGTCGACTCCCTTTGGCTACTAAGATAGGTATGCTTGTCATTCATCGGTCATGGTGTTGACTTTAGCCGTAGGAATCGTTTGGTGCTGACTTTTTTACTGCAGTTGATTATTGTGATGATTTGGATACTCTGTAATGCTTACGAGGGTGTCATCACATCCTTCATGATCCAACCAATACAAGAACATCGACTTCATACCTTTGATGACTTAATTGCATCAGATTATGAGATAATTACTGATGAATCCTTCATCTATTCAATAAATGAGACTTCTGCATTTGAGAATTTAAAGCCAAGGCTGATTGAAACTAATTATCAGAACTGTGGAGTTTTAAGGATAATGATGGAAAAACAGCCAAAAGTTGTTTTGCTAGAATGCAATCAGACTGAATTAATAATGAATCTTTAGTTTGTGAATGGTAGAAATGTATCGGATTATTATTACATGCTGCCACAGAAGTTTTCATCATATTTCATGAGGCTAGAAGCAAGCTACTTTAATCCATTTATTGAGAGACTTCAACACTACATGGACTTGTCAGTTTAAGCTGAACTTTCACACATGTGGAATATTTTTATGACACCTAAATGTCTAAGGTTTAAACTTACATCATACAATGATGAACTTGCATACTTGAAACTTGAAGATTTTACTCAAGTGTTCAGCATCCTTATTATCGGCTTCGCGATGTCCATTGTGATTGTTTTATTTGAAATCTGTAATCATGACATCTTCAAGAAAATAAACCTTAAAAATCTTGCATTGAAGTTGAGGAATCGTGTTCATCAGATGGCATATAAGAAAAGGAAGCAGCCTAAGCATCCAAAATATCAAAAATGTGCACTTTACTACATCATTCAGCGACATAAAAGAGTTAAGCGATGGAAGTCTTGAAAGTTGAAAGTTCAAAAGAAATATGCCCAGCCTAAGTTTTCTATGGATTGATGATAAGTCATATTTGTGGAGAGACATTAATGTCTACGCAAATATGACGCATAGATGATTTCTTAGTGTGCTTTAGAATTAAGGATTAATCTATTTTTTATATTTATTGTCACTTAAAGTATTTGTTGCTGGATAATAAAATGTTAAGCACGTTCGAATGGATTTATAGCACAAAATTCGATTGTTTTTTTTCGAAAAGCTTCTTAAAGCTTGAAAAAAAAACAATTGATAGAAAATGTGAAGTTCAATTTAATCACTACAGATGGCCTTTGAGCATCAAACACCTATTAAAATTGCGAAGACAGTCATGATAAAATATCTCAAAAAACAATGCAAGGAACGATAAACAGTACAAAGAACTTACTACTAGGAACAATGAAATGAGATCCTTTAGCTTCAAAAAGTCAGCTTCATTTGTTAATTGAATTTTTTTGATTTTGAGTAGCTTGCTTCCAGTCGTACGTATTGAGATGTCAGTTTCTCTGGTAAAATTCAATCAAAATCAGAGATAATTTTGCCTTTTGGAAGTCGCCCAAATTTCTTTCCAATTTTTGAGAATGTGACTTCATTAGTGATTTTGCAGATGTTTTTAATCAAACTTTTAAACATCAGTTGATTTTTTGAAGGTTTAACTTGCCTAGGCTGAAAGGTTTAAGCTATACATACCCACGAAAATCACAATTAAATTGAAAACTTTTTTTTCGTTCATGCAGAAAAGCACTCAAAACTTGAATTACTAAAATTTTGAATTGTGTTGCGCATTAAAAAGTTTGTACATAATTACTAGATATGTGTTTGCATGATTGTTGTCAAGTTTTTGCAATAAGAATAATTTACTCGATATTTCTAGGCTACACAAAAATTTATCGAATTTAGTCCTCTTTGGCTTCAAATGCTTGACTTTCTGGCATCGATGGATCATCGGTCAGGATCTCGTTATCTGAAACTAAGAGTTCCTTGATACTCTTTAACCGTTGTTCATGGAATGGTTCAGTCATGAAAGACACCTTCATAAACATTGCTAAGGACAAAGATCAAAATATGATCAACTGGATCAGAATTGCCGGAACTGCTCGGTTCCGACATAAGAAATCAACACCTTGGCCAATAAAAAACACAAACATTCCATAACCAAGCATACAGGGAGAATAAGCAGCCCCACGATCTTGAAACATCCAGAAAACAACAACACAGCTGACAATAGAGAGAACAAAGAATATCCAAATGGCTCAACAAAAATCAAGCTAGCAAGTGCAGTCTTGGGTGACATTGGCACAATTTACCCAATATCGTTTAATTTGTGAAGAATCTTTGATGACTTTTAAATTAATTGCTGAATTTTATAGATTTTAAAGAGCGCTAAGGAAATAAAGCAATGATCAATGTGCGTATTTGTCAATTTTCACCCGGGGTGGCTGGTGAAAGATGACTTGATATGCGAATCCTTGCATGTCGTTTAGTTTGTCAGGAAAAATTATTTTACTGTCTGGTATGATTGTTGTTGCAATTGCATCCAATTTTAATGACTTGACAATATCAAATTGAATATTATTGAATGATAAAAGTTTAACAACGGCAACATTTAAAAATCTGTAGTACACAAACTCATTCAGGATCTCAAAACGCTGTTTAAATGATGTTGTGCTTGGTACAATGCAGATGATGTTAGCCATGTGATGCCATATTGATAACTTGTGTTGCTTTGAAACGATTGATTTTATCTAGATTACGGAATTCAAATGATTAATAAATTATGAGTGATGGTAAAGCAAAATAAAGTTAGCAAGACAAATAGAATGGTTCGCGACTCATGAGGTCATTCGTACAATAACACGCGTAATTATCAGATTTAAGAAAACAACAAAAGCCTAGTAAAAAGATGGGATTTAAGAATCCATTGTTTAGTTTCCAATTGAATGCTCTTAAAAACCCTTGAAAGCCACTCTCAGATATTTTAATTAACCATTTGAACACATGCTGAAGCTAAGTTACCTGTTTTCAGACATTAACATCAAATATCACAACGGTGGTCAAATTTTATTCCGTGATTTTCTCCTTAAAATCAGCAACAACAACAGCACCACGATCATCAATTCACTTAATAATGTCGTTTATAGTTGATGACATAGCTTGTTGACCCAAATTTCCAATAAGGATGTCTTGTGTATCAGTGCTTGACCTGGTGATGTCATTTGTGACTTTACAGATGTTCTCAGTCAATGTTAAGTAATTTTGATGAAATTTTGTGCTAAGTGATGAGTTAAGCAAGTGTGTGATGATCAAAAGTCTCAAAAATATTTCAGTTTTCATAACTTTTAAAGCTGCGAATTTTAGACCAATTGACTTTTAATTGACTAACAAAAATATTAAATTGAATTACATTGTCACAAAGCGTTGCCATAGAATTAGCAACAAGCTATTCTGGCTCTGCAGACGGTTTTTGTTATTGAAAGAGTCTAGTTGTGTTGTGGTAGTACAAAAACTTTTCGAGCATTTACTCGTCGCTTCTTTTCTCTTTTAATGATCCTTTTTATAATCCAGTTAATAATTGATATCCTTTGCTGGCTAATATTCAATTTTGCCAGACAATCGTGACAGAAAACTTCAAAAAACAGCACAAATAAGGCCAAACAATGACCAAGAAGTAGAATCTTAAAAACAAATATAAGATCTATAAATTCAAGCAGCTCTTTTTCTTCATTGCTTTTAAATGCTTGTTCTCGAAAAAAATCATGATGCTCAAATACTTTCCACATATGCGGCAGTCCAGCTTCAAATGACAAGTCCATATAATATTGAAATCTTTCAATAAATGGATTTAAATAGCTAGCTTCTAGTCGCACAAATGACCAAGTAAGTTGTTCCGGTAAAATATAATAATATTCAGATATCAATTTTCCATCATTTATTCGTCCATTTAGAACACTTTCTGCATCGTCACAGAGTCTGATAAAAACTAATTTTTGTTCCAAAATCTCATGCCTCTGCATAAAATCATCTGAAGCGTTCAAACGCGGTTCCATTGATTTGAAAAAAATTAAATTTTTGTACAAAGCAGCGAATGCTTTCTTACTTTTAAACTTATAGTTAGACTGCATTAGGTCTTCAACAGTCTTTAGTCGATTTTCATGAGCTGGTTCAATCATAAAGGATGTGATGACACCTTCATACAAATTACTCAGCAGGAACACCGACAAGCAGATGATGTTGAGCAGAAAAGCAAGAACAAAGCGATTCCGACGTGAAAAATCAGCACTTTGACCGACAAACATCATGAAAATGCCAGCAGCAAGTTGCCAATGAGAATCAACAGCACCATGACCACGAAACATCCTCCAAACAGCAACGGAACAGCCAACTGAAACCCCAAAGAGGATCCAAATTAGTGCATCGAATGGCTGGATGATTATCAAGTTGAAAATTGATGTTTTTGGTGGAATTGGAACCAAGGCACAGTAGCTTTTCTTTTCATAATTCAGAAGCTTTAGATTAGACGAACCAACATAGTATGCATTGTTTAAGCATAAGTGGAACTCTCGCTTCTTGTATTGATTTTTTAATGCTGTATAATTCGTAATAATGTTAATTTTAAAACTTGCTTTTTGAACGTCTGTTAGTGCATAAAGCAAGTGCATCATGTGTGAGCTAACGACCTTTCCATTTACAATGATTGACGGCGGCTGGTCAAAAACTGATATTTGATACTGAAATCCTTCCAAATTCTTAAGCTTGTCAGGAAACACATCAGTGCTTCTTTCTGGATTCGATAAAGCTTTCAATGAATTTTGTTGCGTATTTATTGACTCATAAATGACGTCACCATTTGATGCTGTATGCACCAAAGCCACATTTAAAAATCCAAAAGTCGTAAACTTCATTAAAGCTTGAATGCGTTGACTTTTGGTTGTTGAATCAGGAACAATGCAAATCACTTTATCCATATGAGTGAAAATGGATGGCGGTTGACTGTGTGACAATATCTTCATGAAGATAGTCTATAATAAATATGCGTAAGCCGAGAATTGTTGTTACTTCCTTGATATGAATCAATCTTTACAATACTTACATGACTATTGTGATCAAAGCCAACAAGAATTACAACAGGACTTTTTTTGAACCTCTCTGCTATGATTTTTGTTTTAAAGTCCGTAATAAAGACACCTGCTTTATCATCAATACACTTGATAGTCTCATCGATAGTCGTTGACCAAGCTTTACCACCTAAATTACCAATGAGAATGTCTTGTGTGTCCATATTTGTGTTCATTATGTCATTTGTGATTTTGCAGATGCTTTTTGGCAGCTTTTGATGAACATTTGATTTTATAAGGACGTAATCTGTGCTAACAGATGAGATGAACTGGAAAATCGTTGAAAATTTAACAAGAAACAGTGCGAATTTCATATTTCGGCCAAAACAGTAATATAACGCTGACCAGTGACAAAAGGTAAACAGTTCTGTTGAATATAAAACTATTAAAAAAATTATGAATGTTTTAGCCTTGAGGGAGCACATTAAGCAGCCCATTATGAAATTATTTATTAAAACAAACCTACCTTTTTATAGCTTTTTTTATTGAAGAGTTGCAACAGCAAATATGACAAGTAGCCATTATGGTTCAGTTTATCTGTTTACAGATCTTAACGTCAAGTGACAGTATATGTAATTTTATTTAAACATGATTAATATGCTTAACTAAAATCTGTCGAACTTCCAACCTCTTTGGCTTCAATTGCTGGACTTCTTGACAAATCATCATCATTCATCTTTCAAAGATGATGCAAGCCAGTTTGGAATGATAAGTCCATGTAATATTGCAGTTTATCTTTAAATTGATTCAAGTGACTTGCTTTCAACTAAGCAAGTCTTTGGTCTTGGAAAAATGGACTCAGGTAACTTATAGTAATATTCTGATATGGTTCTGCCATTAAAAAGATTTGAGCTTAATTCAAAATCAACAATTTCACTCGGTCTTATTAATGCAAACTGCTGATTGATTATAAGATCATTTAGTTCAATTTTTGTGTACCGTTTGGATATGTCAAATCTTTGCTGAATCGCTTGAAACTCGGATGACTCTTTTAAAGGAAATAAAAATGCATCATCGATCAAGATTAGTGTGTGACTGAAGGACGACGGCATGAAGTGTTGAATCGATTTGAAACTTTGCCAGAATTAAGTCCATATTACGTCTAATTGCTTTCTGCATAAATGTTTGGAAATGGACATACAAGACACAAGAAATGGCCTTCAAAATTTTGGACATTGCTGTTCACAATTCAAGAAATTTCAGCTTTTAAGGGCATTTTTGAAACTTGTTTCTAAAAGGTAGCTTAATACACTTTGTTTAGCTGTTTGGTTGTTCGGGCGAAGAAAAACTTTTTAACCAGACATCGTAAAGAGCTCGGGTTTGTTTTAATAGCTTCGTTACTATCAATTTATCGGCCAATCGAGAGGTTAAAAGTCTTCAAATCATTTATTTATACTATAATTAATGATTTCTATTTTGTTTTCATTGTAAAACATTGACCGTTGGAAATTCATTGTAATTATTTGCTTATTGCACTAAAATTAATGATCTTCTAATTTTCTCATGATCTGTAAGTGAACGCAAATACTGATCGCTAACACAAAAATGCGCTTAAGTCCCTCAATCAATAACACGAGGACTTCTGTAATTTTTTTGAAAAGGAATAATACTATTATGTTGTGTTTCAATTTAATTTTAACTTTTTACCAGCATTTTGAATCTGATAAAATTATTTAAGCTTGACATAGCATTTGGAATTAATGGCAGTTCCAGTGGATCATAGTCGTACCTGAAAGGAGTAAAGTTTTAAATTTTCATCTAATACATTTTATATTTCTAAACATATCCAATTGTTATTAGCATTCAAAATCTGATGAATTTTTAATGTCTACCTTATTATTAAAGACTTATGGCGGTTCTAATAAACCATAATCGTACCTGAGTATGACAGAAGTTTTGAAATCTCACTATATTGTTGTATTTTTCAGGCACATGTCAAAAATAACCTAGAAATTAGTTTAATTGTTTAGTACTACCTTACTATTTGTATTATCTGATATTGTTGCAAATTATACCTAAAGCAGCTGAGCAGTAAATTCATTCCCGGGTGGGCACAGCCAGTTAAAGTCCATTATTGGACAATCATTTAACAGTCTTTTAACTTGTCGAAATATATACGATATAGAGAACTATACGTTAACTAGACTTTAACTGGACATTCATGCTAATCAATCAAGTGTTCGAAACTCAAAAATAATTTTCCTTACTTTTTTGACCATATACTTCACAAGCGCTTACAGAAATCAATTTTATAAGGTCCACCAAAATTTGTATGAAACTTTTAAGTAAATATAATTGTTTCACGCGCAAGTGTTCGAGACTCAATTTTTACTAGAGATTTTTCATAAGTGATAGTGTACTTTAATTAATTAATTACACTAATACAATAATAAAATTTTACAAAAGAAAAGAATATGGAGAAAAAGACACGTGTTATTTATTTTATTTCGATTTTTTTGTAACTGGACATTAACTAGACATATTTGCAATTCCTATGTCCAGTTAAATGGAAAGCGCAAAATATGTCATTAGTCGTCCCTAAGTCTAGTTGCAAAGGCACGTCAATGGATACTTACTCGCCGTGAAAAGGCAAGTCAATGGCAAGCTTTTAACTAGTACTTTGTCCACTCGGGATTAATACATGATGCGTAATTTAATTTGTTAAAGTCACTGTACATTTTGTGTTTATTCAAACGATACCGTTTTATAATTGTGAGAATAAAAAAAATGAGAGTTCCAAAGCTTTTTGTGACTTTTTCTGTCGTTTCTGTCCTAAATTCATCGTTTATCTTACATGACAATCAAAAACTTACGAAAAGTGTCTGCATAATCACAAATGAAGTTACACGCTCAAAAACTGATACACAGGACATCCTCATTGGAGATTTGGGTGGTTAGTCTTGGTCATCAGCTGTTAATGACATTGTCAAGTGCATTAATGAAATGTCTGCTGTTGTTGTTACTGATCTTGAAGATGTTATGCTTAAAAGGTCGCTAAGAAAAGCTTCAGTTGTGATTTTAATATTGAATCGAACGGACGAGGTTAGTTTTTAATATAATTTTAACCTAAATTGGCTTAAGGTTGCATTCAAAGTTGACGTCTAAAGGAAATAAATTTTTAACTTTGTGACCATTTGCCATTTGTGACTTTGTGTCCAATCCAAGACACAAAAAAATAGAAGTTTCCTGATTAAAAAATTAGATGTCACAAATTTGCTGACCCCCTCCCTCCCCTGTCACAATGTGTCACAAATTTTTCGAAAATACCTCCCCCCCCCCCCCCTCCATAAGTATTGGACGTCATAAGTGAAAGGGTCGTTAAGAAGATCACAATAATAATACTAAAATTTACTTATTAATTTACAGAATTCCATCATTAACTTAATTTCAAAGCATCAATACTCAACAATCTGGCATCATATGTCAAAATTCATCTGCATTGTATCCAACTGATTAACATTAGCACAGCGCGTCATTATTCTCAAGACCTTTATGAATTATGGTTCATTAAATGTTGCAATTTTACACACAGATGCAAAAAGTGACGTCATTTACGAATCTATTGATGAAAGTTTATCATTAAAAATTCAGAAAAATCCTCAACATAGGCAGTCGCTGTTTCCTGATAAAATGAAAAATTTGCGTGGTTTAAATTCAAGTGTTGCTATCTACGACCAACCACCATCAGTTGTTGTTCACAAACGTACAGCAAACGGCCATATGTTTCATTTTCTTCACGCAATTGCAAGAATACAAAATATTACTTTCAGGCTGCATGTCCTATCTGATTATTCACAATTGGTTGACTATCATAAAAAGAGAAAATGCACTTGACACTTAATACTGTTCATATTTTTAGAACAAAAGATCCCAAACTATTTACATATGAGAATAATGGCTACTGTGCGTTAGTTCCAGTTCCTCCTAAAATTCCACTTTATCATCTCATGTTCATCATGCCATTCGATGGACTCATTTGGATACTCTTTGGGGTCTCAATTATTGGTTCTGTTGCTGTTTGGCGGATCTATCGTGGTCGTGGTGCTGTCGATTCTCATTGGCAACTTGCTGCTGGCATTTTTATGATGTTTTTTGGTCAAGGTGCTAATTTTTCACGTCAAAATCACTTTGTGCTTGCTATACTGCTCAACATTATTTGCTTGTCTATGTTCCTGCTCAACAATCTTTATGAAAGTGAAGTCACATCCTTACTGATTGAACCAGGTGATAATAATCGTCTGAAAACTATTGAGGATCTTATCGCATCTAAATATGAAATTATAAATGACGCCGTATTTGCCGACTATGCTATAAGTGCAAAAGATTTTGAGAGATTATTGCCTAGATTAAATATAAGATCCGTCGATTTACCAAAAAACTTTAATGAGGAAGTGATCAGCCAACGCTATGTCTACATGTTTCGATGCGATTCAGTAGATTTGCTTCTTCGATCTCGACTACCCAATGGCCGCTCCTTTACAGACTATTATTACAAATTACAAGAGTTACTTTTCTGGAATTATGTGGAACTGGATGCAAGCTACTTAAACCCGCTAATTGACAGTTTTCAATATTACATGGACTTGTCATTTCAAGCTGGACTACCGCACATGTGGAAAGTGTTTGAAAGGAAAACCATCTCGCAATTAAAGATAAAGGCAAAAGACAAGAAAATATTTTTGGAGCTGATTGATTTTGGGGCAGTTTTTGTGATTTTTTTTATCCTTTGTGGGTTGTCAGTGATTGTGCTGCTTGCTGAGATTTTTTATTATGACTGTTTTAGGAACGTTAAGCTTAGAAAAATCAAATGTTGGTTTGGAAGTATTTGGCGAATGTGCTGTTGCTTGTGTAAGACTAAAAAGATTAAGCAGAAGTTAAGAATTCGCAAAATTGTCGTTCAACCTCGTAGAAGAGCTGTATAATCTATTTGAATTTTTTAATGTCTAAGAATAGCTATAGAACTCAATGAATCTATAGCAACAATTAAAGCCATTACACAAGTTTTTAAGTTTTCTGAATAAGTAGAATAAATTATATTGTGTTAAAAAAATATGAAATTGAGTAGAATTTTTGCAAATTTTTTAATTATGTGCATCCTCAACTTATCATTTAGCACAAATTTTTTTCTGAAATCCTTAGCTGTTGACGAAAAATTACCAAAAAGTATCTGCAAAATCACAAACGACGTAATAAACTCAAAAGTTGAAACACAGGACATCCTTATTGGAAATTTAGGTGGTTTCATTTGGTCATCGACAGTTAATGACATTGTCAAGTGCATTGATGACAGAACAGCTATAGTTGTGGCAGATTTTAAGACAGTTATTACTCAAAAGAATCTTAGAAAAGCAACAATTATTATTTTAGCTTTAGAGAAAGTCAATCAAGTAAGACAAAATATTTTATAAAAATATCACTGATGATCAAAATCTGATTCATCAGTTCCACAACTTTGACCAATGCACTTCCCTTTACTTTTTTGGTTTATTTATAATGCAATGTCTATTTTTAATACGATTCTGAGAGCATTTTTTAATCCAAGTTCAGCCAGAGTGACTAAATAGGCTTAAGCTAACACTATGGCGATATAGTGGCACTCCTGACCTCTAGGGGTTCCTGAATTCCCGTTCCCGTAAGATTTCGGGAATCGGGAACGGGAACGGGAATGATGTCCGGGAACGGGAATATTCCCGGGAATCAACAAAGAAAAAAAAAAGTTTAAAGCTACACTTACACCATGTATTTTATTTAGGTTTTTAAATCAAATTTAAATTCTATTTCATTTGATTGTCAAATTGATTCTGTTGACAATAATTTCCGTTTAAAATTCAATACTTTTTGGTTTTAGAACAAATCTTAAAGTACGATTTTAAAAAACTGATTGCATTAACGTGCTAGTCTAGCAATCTAGTGCGATATATTATTGGAGATTGAAAAGTTACGTTCAGCTCTTGTAGATGTTGGTGGAATTGATAAAATATAATCTGATAGATTCAAAAGGCATGGTGATTTATGCTGAAACTTGTCGTAATAATCAAAATCTTTACGAATCGTGTCAAATTTATCATTTGTAAGCTTTGAAATTGTAGGTGATGCCATTAATTCTTCAAGATTCAATTTCAGTCGTTCAAATTATTTTAATCCGATGTCAATTAAGTTTATTATTTTGTGGACATCATACATTTAAAAAAATATTTTTAAATACTTTTTCTCTTCGTTTTTCATAAATATATGTTTTTGAGTTAAAACACATCAAATTTGAGTTTAATATTTCAGCTCTTAAATTCCTTAACGTATGTTTTCATTATTATAATTTTCTTCTTTAAATTGTAGTTTTTTCATTAAACATACAAAATAAAAAAAAAAAAATCTAATTTGAATTGTCGGTTTTTTTTGTATGAAAACGGGAATTTCGGGAATATTCCCGACAGATTTTCGGGAAACGGGAACGGGAACGGGATTCCCGTTCCCGGGAATTCCCGGGAATATTCCCGATTTTAGAACCCCTACTGACCTCCCATTTTCATCATTCTCACTGTCACCGCCTCAAAGTAATTTTATTATTTACCAAATTTTTAAATTTCAGGATAAAATCATGTCAATCATCACAAATCAGTTCTTTTCAACAGTCTGGCATCACATGGCAAAAATTCTCTGTATTGTGCCTAACACGAGTTCTCTTTCCCAGCGAGTCCTAGCTCTTAGAGCATTTTCTCAGTATGGCTTTTTAAATGTTGTTGTTGTTGTGATGACTAAACCAAAGATTATTCAGTTTGAAACTATAAAGTCGATGAAATTAAATGAAATTTTCATCACTCAAGCACCAGATAGCAATGCTCTTTTTGCTGACAAGTTGAAGAACATGAAAGGATTTCAGTACAAGATCATTGCTTATGCACAACCTGGTCGTGTTATTATAAATTATCAAACTATTAAATCTTACATGCTATCCTTCCTTGATATCATAAAAACTGCACAAAATTCAACATATCACATAATTATTTTACATGATTATTCATTAATTGACCAGTACTGGTTAAAGCGTGTCATGGATTTGACTATAAATACTGCAGTCGTTTTAGACAGTCGTGAACCAAAATTACTGACTTATGAGATTGAAGGTTACTGTGCGCTTGTTCCTATTCTTCCAAAGACAACACTTTTCCAGCTTATCTTTATTGGACCATTTGATGGACTCACATGGATGTTTCTTGCACTCTCGATTGTCAGTTCTGTTGCTGTATTTTATTTATTTCGTGGTCGTGGTGCTGCAGATTCTCCTGGGCTGCTTGGTTATGGAATGTTTGTGTATTTTATTGGACAAGGTGTCGATTTCTCACGTCGGAACCGACCGGTTCTGACAATCCTGATTCAGTTGATCATTCTGATGATCTTCGTCCTTAGTAATGCATATGAAGGTGTCATCACGTCCTTTATGATTCAGCCAATGCATGAACACCGTCTTGAGACAGTTAATGATCTACTTGAATCAGATTACGAAATTAAAGCAGATGAAGCATTTTCATTTAAAATTAAAGATGACATTCAATTCAGTGACAGAATAAAATTAATGCATAAACTTGATGAATATAAATATAATGAGTTAATTCTTAAACAGGAATTAGTTTTCATTAGAAAGTGTCACTTAGCTGAATCTGATTTGAGATCTGTGGTATCAAATAGGAAATTTCAGTCAGAATTTTATTACATTTTACCAGAGCAATTTTTATGGCATTACATCGAACTTGATGCAAGCTACTTAAATCCATTCGTTGAGAGGTTCCAATATTATATGGATTTAAGCTTTCAAGCTGGTCTGCCTCACATGTGGAAAGTGCTTTATAATCAAGACGATTTTAAGACGCAAAATAATCATGGAAATGATGAAGAATCAATCATCAAACTTGATGACCTCTGTCAAGTATTTATCATCTTCATTACAGGCTGTGTGGTGTCAATTTTTGTCCTGGTCATTGAGATATTTGTGCATGATTGTCTAAAAAGCTTACCGCTTACCTACCTTAGACATAGGTTGAGGAATCATGTCGGTCAGATTGCATACAAGAAAAAGTCAAAAGATCCAAAATATCGAAAAGGTGCACTGTACTTCATCATACACCGGCACCAAAAAGTCAAACGATTGAAGCGTAAAAAGTTGCAAGTTCGACAGAATTTTTTAAAGCCTTAAAATCTGTGTGACACTGTTGAAATCTAGGTTAATAAGCAAAAGAAATTTAACGGTCGTTTGAGATTTAAAAAGTAACGGTTGTTCAAAATTTGAATTCAAGTCCAAAGTTTGAACCTCAAGAATTTTTGGCGGGAATTTTAAAGTATAAAAGAAGGAATTTTCGGGAGAAATTTTTCATTTCGAGTTTGAGAACTCATAAAGGCAACATCTAAAGAAAACTAAAGGAAAGAGTATTTTTCAATACTAACAAAAAACAAAGCACTTATAAGTGCTATTAAAAGAAAAGGATTTTTAATTATCAAACTTCAAAGTGGAGCTTGAACAGGAGGTAAATTGGGACCGGTTTGAGGAGGAACTAAAGACTTGCTCTACTCTCAAGTCTGAGGAAAGTTTACGGGCAATAGAAGCTGAAATTGAAGAGCGTGAAGTCGTACTTTTATCACACTTAAGGGATCCGGTCAAAAATCAGCAACATGAACGTGAGGCCTCGAGACGTGGGACACAAAGAAGGCTTAATAGAAGATTCCAGCCATATCAACAATCACAACAGACACTTCCATGAAAAAATTGAGTTTTTGTTGAGCTTTATTTGCACAAAAAAAAATCAATAAAATATACATTGTATCTGATTTAAATGTAAATTATATCTCAGTGTCAATCAAGCAACGTCAGGAAATGCATTTCCAATTAAAACTTAGAAATATATGTGATTGAATTTGTAAGAGTCAAAGCGGTCAGCAGAAAAAACTAAACCAAATAAAAAAGAATGAAAATTTCAAAATTGTTTGTGATTTTTTCATTTTTATTTGCTTTCTACTCATCACTTAGCACAGAAATCCTTCTTAAACTTTCAACCAATGACCAAAAACTGCCGAGAAGCATCTGTGAAATCACAAATTGTGTCACTAGCTCAAAAACTGACTCACAAGATATCCTGATTGGTAATGTGGCTGGCAAACTTTGGTCATCGACAATAAACGACATTGTAAGATGCATTAATGATGAAGTAGCTGTTGTTATTACTGATCTTCAAGATATAATGCTAAACACGTCACTGAGGAAAGCTTCAGTTGTGATTTTTATACTGAATCAAATGAACAAGGTAAGTTCCAAGCAGGTGCGTAGCCAGGAGGGTATTGTCCCCTTCTTAAGCATTTAAGGCCGTGCTCTTGCTGAGGTTCAAATCGTTTAAGGTAGGGACAAGACCCTCCAAGCTACGCGCCTGGTTCCAAGATAAATTTTATAATAAATTTGCCTTAAAATGTTTTCATAAATTGAATCGATTAAAAAGGAATATTAAAGGCACATTTCATTTAATAGAGTTTCATCATAAGATTAATTTCAAAGCATCAATACTCAACAATCTGGCATCACATGTCAAAATTCATATGTATTGTACCAAACACATTTACATTAGCACAGCGCGTCAATATTCTCAATCGTGCATGAAGATGCAGCAGGTGACGTCATTTACGAATCTGTTGGGGCAAATGTGTCACTTAAAATCCTTAAAAATCCTAAACATTGTCAGCCACTGTTTCCTGATAAACTAAAAGAGTTGAGGGGTTTGAACTCAACAGTTGCTATCCACGATCAGCCACCATCGGTAATTGTTGGTAAAGGCACCGTCCATGGTCAAATGTTTAATTTTTTGGACGCACTTTCAAAAGTACTTAATATTAAATTTAAGCTGCATGTCCTACCTGATTACTGACATTTATTTGATTATCATAGCAAGCGTAAAATGCACTTGACACTTAATACTGTGATTATTTTCAAGACAAAGGATCCGAAATTATTTACGTACGAGAAAAATGGCTACTGTGCGTTAATTCCAGTTCCTTCGAAAATTCCACTTTATCATCTCATGTTCATCATGCCATTTGATGGACTCATTTGGATACTCTTTGGGGTGTCAATTTTTGGTTCTGTTGCTGTCTGGCGGATGTTCCGTGGTCGTGGTGCTGTTGATTCTCATTGGCAACTTGCTGCTGGCATTTTCATGATGTTTTTTGGTCAAGGTGCAAATTTTTCGCGTCAGAACCATTTTGCACTAGCTTTTCTTCTCAACATTATTTGCTTGTCTGTGTTCCTGCTCAACAATCTTTATGAAAGTGAAGTCACATCCTTACTGATTGAACCAGGTGATTATAATCGTCTGAAAACTATTGAGGATCTTATCGCATCTAAATATGAAATTATAAATGACGCCGTATTTGCCGACTATGCGATAAGTGCAAAAGATTTTGAGAGATTATTGCCTAGATTAAATATAAGATCCGTCGATTTACCAAAAAACTTTAATGAGGAAGTGATCAGCCAACGCTATGTCTACATGTTTCGATGCGATTCAGTAGATTTGCTTCTTCGATCTCGACTACCCAATGGCCGCTCCTTTACAGACTATTATTACAAATTACAAGAGTTACTTTTCTGGAATTATGTGGAACTGGATGCAAGCTACTTAAACCCATTTATTGAGCGATTTCAGTACTTTATGGACTTGTCATTTCAAGCTGGGCTGCCTCAAATGTGGAAAGTATTTGTGATGCAAAGCAAATCACACTTAAAAAGAAAAATAGTTACAGATGAAAAAATCTTTTTGGAATTGTCCGATTTTCAGGCAATTTTTGTTATTTTTTTTCTTATGTGTGGATTGTCTGTTGTTGTGTTGATTGCTGAGATTTTCTATCATGACTGTCTTAGAAAAATTAAATGGACGATTGGAAATAGTTTGCACTGCTGGTGTAAAAGTAAGAAAATAAAGCAGCAATTAACAGTTCGCAGAGTTGTCGTTCAACCACGAAATAGAATTATAAATATTGAGTAAGATTATAAAAACTAGGAGCATCTCCAGCAGACCAGCTTAAACATTAAAAAAATGATTTGTTTTATTTTGCATGGACACATGTCATTAATAGTCAAAAATTCTTGACTTTATTATGATAGACAATTTAAAATGTGCATTTTATTAATCACAGCTTCTAGGCTGAATTAATATCTTTCCAACTTTTAATTTATTTGGCTTCAATCGCTTGATTTTCTGATGTCGATTGATGATGAAGTACAGAGTACATCTCTGATATGTCAGATCTGCTGTCTCCTTCTTATATGCAAAATGATTCTTCAACTTATGCACTAGATAGTCAAGCTGCTAGTTCTTTAGGAGAAACAATATCAGATCGCAAACAAAAGGAAGTCGAATTATCCAACATATTACAACGTTACACTGTCCATCCATCGACATTAAAAAGTCATGCGATTCAAGCCTAAAGTGATTACGGTTCAGCAGACTTTCGATAGCCTTGCAAATTGTAATTTGAATTTGTGCCATAAAATAAAATATAATGACTTAATTTACGATGTAAAAAGGTTCTTTTTCTCTTCCAAATAAGTGTGTTTTGTGACAGAAAAAGAGTCATTTATGATTAGGCTGTCCATCGGTTTTTGACAATTTTTGGCATGTCTCGATTTTAGCTCTGAACAAGCGGAACAGACCAAATTTTCTACGAAAAATAGGTTCAAAAAGCTGGACGTTAAGGATTTTAGGTGGAATTTTGTTCGAAAATGCGGGACAGTTTTGCTCAAATGTGCGCAATCGGACAGCCTTTTTATGAATAACTCTTAACCTATTAAAAGTTTATAATAGTTTAGTCGAAATTCATTTTTATTTGATCTAAAAGTCGATTATTCCCAATATTATTGAAGCAGTAAATGCGTTACGAAAAAAATCGATGATATAAAATTTGTGTCATTTGTTTTGTTGGCTTTACATTTCGGGTTGTGTTTGTTCAAACTAAGGCGTTTTTTTTAATTATAAAATATTAATTTAAAAAAAATGAAAACTACAAAAATATTTTTGACTTTGTCACTACTTTTTATGGTCAACTCATCGATTCTTTCAAATTTAGTCCGTAAATCAACAATTGATCACAAACTACTGCCAAAAAGCATTTGCAAAATCATAAATGACGTCATAAGCTCAAAAACTGACACTCAGGACATCCTCATTGGTAATGCAAGTGATAAATCTTGGTCATTGACTATCAACGATATTATTCAGTGCATTAACGATGGAACAGCTGGTGTCCTTATTACGGATTTTAAAGATGTAATGAAGAACACAAAGTTGAGGAGAGCTTCAGTTGTCATTTTTAAATTAAATCAAACAAATGAGGTTGGTAAGGCTGTTTAGAAGTTTTCACAGACTTCTTATTGCTCAAAATAAAGCAAATGCTAAAAGACAAACTTATTTTTCAGAGCTTTATCATCAAATTAATTATCAAGCATCGCTACTCAACTGTTTGGCATAACATGTCGAAATTTATATGCATCGTGCCTGACTCATTATCATTTGCACAACGCATCAATATTCTTAAGATTTTTATGGCTTATGGATCATTAAATATTACAATTGTACATGTAGATGAAGCAGGTGACATCATTTACGAATCAATTGGAGTAGCTTTGGCACTAAATATTCAATGAAATTCTCAACATGGACACTTACTGTTTCCTGATAAATTAAGAAACTTAAGAGGTTTAACCTCAACTATTGCCATCCATAACCAACCACCATCAGTAGTTATTAACCATCGATTCATTATAGCGCAAATGTTATTTTTTTTAGATATAGTTTCAAAAGTACTAAATGTTAAATTTCAGCTGGATGTCCTCCCTGATTATTTACATTTATTTGATTATCATAGCAAGCGTAAAATGCACTTGACATTTAATACTGTGCTTATTTACAAGACACAGGATCCGAAATTATTTACGTACGAGAAAAATGGCTACTGTGCTTTAGTTCCAATTCCATCAAAAGTTCCACTTTATCATCTCATGTTCATCATGCCATTTGATGGACTCATTTGGATACTCTTTGGGGTCTCAATTATTGGTTCTGTTGCTGTCTGGCGAATCTATCGTGGTCGTGGTGCTGTTGATTCTCATTGGCAACTTGCTGCTGGCATTTTTATGATGTTTATCGGTCAAGGTGCTGATTTTTCACGTCGGAATCGATTTGTACTTTCTTTTCTGCTCAACATCATCTGCTTGTCTGTGTTCCTGCTTAGTAATTTGTACGAGGGTGCCATAACATCCTTCATGATTGAACCAGGTCACGTAAATCGACTCAAGACTGTTGAAGATCTTGTAGCATCTAATCATGAAATCGTAAGCGATGCCGTATTTGCTGACAATTCGATGATTGTAAATGAATTTGAGAGATTACTACCGAGATTGAGAATAAGATCCGTCGATTTACCAAAAAATTTTATAGATGAAGTGATCAGCCAACGCTATGTCTACATACTTCGATGTGATTCAGCAGATTCACTCCTTCGATCTCGACTACCCAATGGCCGCTCCTTTACAGACTATTATTACAAATTACAAGAGTTCCTTTTCTGGAATTATGTGGAACTGGATGCAAGCTACTTAAATCCACTAATTGAGAGTTTTCAATATCACATGGACTTGTCATTTCAAGCTGGACTACCGCACATGTGGAAAGTGTTTGTCAAGCAAAGTAATTCGCAATTAAGAACAAATATTAAAAGCGAGAAGGTGTTTTTGGAGTTGGATGATTTTTATGCAGTTTTTGTAACTTTTTTTATTTTGTGTGGATTTTCTGTGGCTGTGCTAATTGCTGAGATCTTTTTTCAAGACTGTCTATCGAACATCGACCAAAAAACAATCAACTTATCGATTAGAAATTGTTGTCGATTGTTGAATATTTGTAATAAAAAGAAGCAGCAGTTAAAAGTTCACGAAATTGTCGTGAAACCTTGTCGAGGTGCTGTTTAAAAATATAATAGAATTTTATGTAGCTTTTCATGTGCATGCAATCGTAATGATCGATAACTTTATTATGTGATTTGAGCTTATATAAAAATAAATTGTTATCATGACAAACTTAATAAGCATCATAATTTATTCATTCCAACGTCTAGGCTGAACGAAAATCTGTCGAACTCTCAATCTCTTTTGCTTCAATCGCTTGACTTTCTGGTGTCTATGAATGATGTAGTACATAGCACCTCTCTGATATTTTGGATCAACTATCCTTCTCTTATATGGCATCTTATTGACTCGATTTTTCAATTTATGACCAAGATAACGAAGCTGTAAGTTCTTTAGGCAGTCATGAAAAACAATTTCAATGAGCAGCAATAAAAATGATAAACCAAAGCTAATGGCAATCATACCAAAGAATTGATAAAGATCTTTAAGTTCCAAGTACTCAGCTTTATTTGAGTAAACAATGCTGAACTTCTTATAAAAGTCTTGAGCAACAACGATTCTCCAAGCATGTGGTAGACCAGCTTGAAAGCATAAATCCATGTAATATTGAAATCTCTCAAGATAAGGATTCATATAGCTAGCTTCAAGTTGAACATAGTGCCATAAAATCTTTTCCGGTAAAAAATAATAATAGTTCCTACTTCGTTGTCCATTTGGTAGTAAATATTGTAACTCAACTTCAGCTAAATCACAGTTCTTAACGAAGACATAATGCTGCCTCATAAACTCTTTCAAATACACATCTAAGTCTAATTTTTTTACTATCTTCATACGTGACTTTAATGCATTAAATCTGTCATCTTCTTTGACTTTAAATTCGAATACTTCATCTGTCAAAATCTCATAATCAGAAGCTATAAAATCATCAACAGTCTTATGACGATTTTTCTGCATTGGCTGAATCATGAAAGATATAATCCCACCCTCGTATGCATTGCTAAGGATAAAGATCATCAGAATGATCAACTGAATCAGGATTGTCAGAACCGGTCGGTTCCGACGTGAGAAATCGACACCTTGGCCAATAAAATAGACAAACATTCCATATCCAAACAGCCAAGGAGAATCAACAGCACCACGAAAACGAAACATCCAAAAAATAGCAACACAACTGACAATCGAGATTGCAAAGAACATCCAAGTGAGTCCATCAAAAGGTTTTACAAAAATGAGATAAGTAAGTGAAGTCCTTGATGAAATTGGAACTAGCGCACAGTATCCATCTTCTTCGTATGTCATAAGTTTCGGCTCCGGAATCAGTAATCACAATTGCAGTATTTAATGTCAAATGCATTCGTCGATTAATCCAGTAATTTTCAAACCATGAAAGATCAGGAAGATAAAGTAGTCGGGATTTTGAGTTTTGGGCACTTTGTAGAACATCGAGGAAAAGTAGCAAGTGAGAAAACACTTCCTTGTGCATAGCAATTCGTGGTATTTGCTCGTAAATGACAATATCGTATGTGAAACCTTTCATGTCTTTAAGTTTATCAGGAAAAAGAAGATAAGCGTCTAGTGTAGAAGTAACTTGAATTGAGTTTGCAGCTAACGAGTAAATTGACATAAATTTAATTAAATCTGGCTTCGTTTCAACCGCAATAACAACATTTAAGAATCCATAACTGTAGAAAGTAATAAGTATTTGAGAGTATTGATTTAGTGACGATGTTCTGGGTACGATGCAAATGATCTTTGTCATATGATTCAAAACTGCTGATAAGTGATGATTCCTGACTATTAGTGTGACTTGATCCTATACAAAAAATTGATTTTATTAATTTATGTGTGCTGGTTTTGGTACACGAATCATTGACTTGGAGTAAAACGGGGTATTTCAAAAAGTGGCCCAGTGGCTTCTAGAGCCTTTCAGTCACTTTTTGTACCTCCCAGTGGCTCCCTGAGCGTCCCAGTCACTCTCAGAGTCCCTTAGAGCCAACCAGTGGCTCTCATAGCATCCCAGCCATTCTCTGGGAGCCTCCTAGTGGCTCTCAGAGACTCACAGTGGCTCGCAGAGCCTACCAGAGCCTCCCAGTGGCTCCTAGTGTATCCCAGTCATTCTCAGAGCTACCCAGTGGCTCCCAGAGCCTCTTAAAGCCTCCCTGAGCGTGATAAATTTTGATAAAAGCAAATATTTTGTTTATTCTAACTTTTGGATGTCATCGTCAGCTGGGGCAGTGAACAATTATAATAAAATATAGATCATTTTACACTCCTTGTAATTAAGTAGAAATTTTTTAAATGAGATATGAGCTATAAAAATAGTATTTACCCGTGTTAGCAACTCAAAAGTCAAAATCACTAAAGATGCCTTCCTTAAACGTTCTTCAGTGATTTTGACTTTAAAATCTGTAACCACAACAGCTGTTTCATCATCAATACACTAAATAATGTCATTGACAGTCGATGACCAAATTTTCCCAACCAAATTTCCAATAAGAACATCCTGAGTTTGAGATTTTGATTTAGTGACATCATTTGTGATATTGCAAATGCTTTTTGACAGCTTTTGTCCTTCGAGTAAGCCTTTAAATACAAATCTTGTGCACGGCAATGTGTTGAGGAGGAAAATTGATGCAAAAACTACAAAATGCTTTATGATAATCATTAGTTTTTTTCAATTTGCCAAAAATTTTAATTTAACGCAACTTTTTGTTTAATGTTTTGTGCTATTTCCATGGTAGCAACTTGTTTAGGTTTAATTCTTGACCAGCTTTGCCGTACATCAATGAAATAATAATTTTTATTGATTTGCATGTACATTTAACATTGATTCTTGACTTTATTATGTTATTTAAAATGTGCGATTTGTGCTAGGGATCGTTCACTTATGATGTCCAAAATTAACGGTCATTTTTTAAAAAAAGAACAATGGATTTTTATTCTTCTTTTCTTGCTTATGGACATCATAATGAACGTCCCCTTATGAGAGTTTACATAAAAAAATCTTGTCAACCTTGACAAACTTTTATCAAACATTATTGATTCCTTCTTTATTGATTACAACTTCTAGACTTAATGAAAATTTTTCGAACTTTCAACTTCTTGGGCTTCAATCGCTTGACTTTTTGGTGTCTATGGATGATGTAGTACAAAGCACCTCTCTGATAGTTCAGATCCTTTGGCTTCTTCTTATATGCAATCTGATTGACTCGATTCTTCAACTTGTTAGCTAAAAAGCGTAGCTGTAAGCTTTTGAAGCAATCATGAATGAAGACTTCAACGAGCAGCACAAGAGCTGACAAAATGTAACCAATTATTAGAACGCTAAAGACTTGATAAAGATCCTGAATCTTTAAATATTCAACTGTATCAGATTTCGCCGTCTTAATTTTCTTGAAATAATCTTTTTCAGTAATGATTTTCCACAAATGAGGCAGTCCCGCTTGAAAGCATAAATCCATGTAGTATTGAAATCTTTCAATAAATGGATTTAGGGGACCCGCTTCCAACTGGACATATCTTGGTGATAGTACTTCCGGTAATTTGTAGTAATACTCAGACTTTGATTTTCCATTTTTTAGTTTAAGACTCAACTCATATTCAGCTATGTCACAAGGTCTTATGAAAACTAAAGCTTGTTGCATTATAAAATTGTCAAATTGATCTTTTACTTCTTGTCCTGCTATTTTTATTCTTGACCTAATAGCCTGAAATTCAGCTGAATCTCTGACCATATAATCAAATGCTTCATCTGTCAAAATCTCAAAATCAGATGAAAGGAGATCTTCGACAGTTTTAAGACGATTTTCCTGCATTGGCTGAATCATAAATGACGTAATGACACCCTCGTATGCATTGCTAAGGACAAAGATCATCAGAATGATCAACTGGATCAGAATTGTCAGAACTGCTCGGTTCCGACGTGAGAAATCGACACCTTGACCAATAAAATACACAAACATTCCATAACCCAGCAACCAGGGAGAGCCAACAGCACCACGACCACGAAACATTGAGAAAACAACAACACAGCTGACAATCGAGATTGCAAGGAACATCCAAGTGAGTCCATCGAAAGGTTTGATAAAAATAAAATCGAACATTGGAAATTTTGGTGGTAAAGGAATCAATGCACAATAGCCATTGACTTCGTAAGTTAGCAATTTTGGATCAGTACTATTCAAAGTAACGGCTGTGTTGACTGTAAGATGCATATGTCGATTGGACCAATAATGCTCTACTTTCGAGTGATCACGGATAAAAAGAATGCGGATATTAGAGTTCTGGACATCCCTAATAATATACAGAAAAAATAATAAATGAGAAAAAACTTCTCTTGACATCATGACTCTCGGTTGCTGCTCATAAACTATAATTTTGTACTCAAATCCCTGCATGACCTTAAGTCTGTCAATTAATAAAAACTGACTGTATGTATCTTCACTGATAAGCATCTTATTGCCAGTGATTGAATCCAAAGTTATTAATTTAAAGCTAAATTCATCTTCAAAGGCAATGACGACATTTAAGAATCCATATTTTGAGAATTGTTGAAGATAATAAGCATAATAATCATAGGAAAATGTACCCGGTGCGATAAATATGACCTTAGCCATGTAGTGCCAAACTGTTGATAAATAATGATCTACAACCATGCTAAATATTGAATCCTGAGTAATAATCGTATGATTAAAAAAGTTACATAAATCTTAACACGACTTAACATACTTGACTAAACCAATTAACAGCCAAAATCACTATCGAAGCTTTCCTCAATTTGTCATCTGTGAGTTTAGTCTTGAAGTCTGATATTACCACAGCAGTTTCATCATCAATACACTTGACAATATCGTTTACTGTCGTTGACCATGACTGACCTCCTAAATTGCCAATAAGGATATCCTGTGTATCAGTTGTTGAGCTTGTGATTTCATTTATGATTTTGCAGATACTTGGTGCAATTTTATTGAGTGAAGATTCGACGACAAGATTTGTGCTAAATGTAAAAATGTAGACAAATAATGTTAAATTTATAAACTTTAAAGGTTTCATTATTTCAATTAAATTTATTTTAAAACTTAAGACGAGCTTTCAAGCTTAAAAAATATGAAAAAGTTGTGTTTTGGCATTTACTATTGCTATAGAATTAACTAGTGTTGATGTAAAATTGCTAACCATGGAAATGTGAAAAGCTATTACTGGCACTGATTTTATTTAAAATTTAAAAAAACTAACCGATTTGGGATTATCAGTTCACTCTGTTTCTCCTGCTTTCCACTGTCAACGATTGGGTTTTGTATTGAATTTTTAATTTATCGATGACCTTACAGATCAGATGTGATCCATGGCCTCTCAGATGCCACCTAAAACTGACTCTATCGCTGGCTACTGATTGCCAATTTCCACGAGTTCTTTGGTCTTCCACGTGCTCTTTTTCCATCCACAAAGTCTGATTGAAAGACTTTACTTAATGGAGCTTCCACAGGTCTTCTCGATAGAGTTTCTAAAGCACGTACAATTTTACCAGCATTTACGATGTTATCTGCGTTTTTGAACTATAAAAACAGTGGTATGTACGAACTGTGCATTCATATTCATTTATGTTGGATAAAATTGATCATTGCATGTCTACAACTCATTGGAATAAAAAGAAAAAAATATTTGTAGCTTTAAAAAATCCAAAAAAAATATGAAAAGTTTAAGATTTCTTGTGATTTTTGCAATGTTGCTTGTCCTTCACTCTTCAACAAGCACAAACTCAATCAATACATCATCAATCGATGACCAAAAGCTGTCAACAAGCATCTGCAGAATCACAAATGATATTACAAGCTCAAAATCAGACACACAGGACATAATCATTGGAAATTTAGGAGGTACAATGTGGTCGTCAATAGTCAACGATATTATCAAGTGTTTGGATAATAAGGCTGTTGTTATCTCCGATATCCATGATATTGCTACAGACAAGAGACTACGGAAAGCTTCTGTTGTGATTTTAGCCTTGAATCGATCAGCTAAGGTAAAAAAATCAATGTTTTTATTCAACGTTAAAGCAAATTATTTAATGAATAGTTGAACCTTTCCACATTGTATCTATCCCACCACCGCTTCCATACTAATACAAAAAATTATTTTATCTATTTCCAGTATCAAATAATAGACATAATTTCACAGTTTGGTATATCAACGGTGTTGCATCATATGGCAAAGACTATAGTAATGCTACCTGATTCCACAACACAAGATTATCGAGCACAAATTTTGGGTACTTTCGGTAAATATGGCACATGGAATGTCGCAGTTCTGCACAAGTTCCTTGGTGACATTGTTTTTGAGATTTTTGGATCAAATTTTAAGTTAACAAAGCTGATAAATCCAAAAAATAGCAGCTCAGTCTTTCCAGATAAGCTTAAAGATCTTAGAGGAATGAAAGCTTATGTTGCAGTTCACGATCAGCAGCCTTCAGTAAAATTAAGAAATGGTAGAGTCAGCAGTCTAATGATTCACTTCCTTCATGTTATTGAAAAGGTGCAAAATATTAAAATTGGACTTCTTCTTGTTCCTGATCACACTTATTTGCATAAGTACTGGATCGATCGCAAGTTCCATCTGACATTGAACACTGCTCTAGTATTTAATACTGAAGATCCAAAGCTTTTTACGTATCAAAAGAATGGCTACTGTGTCCTTATTCCAGTTCCACCTAAATCTTCATTTTTTCATCTAATTATTATTCATCCATTTGATATTCTCATTTGGATACTCTTTGGAGTGTCTGTCGTCAGTTCTGTTGCTGTTTGGAGGATGTATCGTGACCGTGGTGCTGTCGATTCTCATTGGCAACTTGCTGCTGGCATTTTTATGATGTTTATCGGTCAAGGTGCTGATTTTTCACGAAGGAATCGATTTGTGCTTGCTGTGCTGCTTAACATCATCTGCTTGTCTGTGTTCCTGCTTAGCAATCTATACGAAGGAGCTGTCACATCCTTTATGATCGAACCAGCCCATACAAATCATTTTAAGACTGTTGAAGACTTTCTGGATTCAGACTATGAGATTATTACAGATGAAGTGTTTGTAGCTGGCATCAAAGATTCACAAGAGTTCAACAGACTCAGATTAAAGATGAACTCATCTCTTGGTCGGTTGGAAAGGAAGTTCAACATCGGTTATCAGCAACAACGTTATGCTTACATATTCAGCTGTGACATACTTGAGTATGAAATTTATTCCCAATTGCCTGACGGTCATCATGTTGCAGACTATTTTTACATACTGCCAGAAATGATATCTTGGTATTACGAAAAACTTGGAGCAAGCTACCTAAATCCATTTATTGAACGATTCCAGTACTACATGGACTTGTCATTTCAAGCTGGTCTGCCTCACATGTGGAAGTTATTCATGGCACAGAGAATTTATAAATCAACAGGAACTGTTATTCTTAGAGACAGAGAAATGCTGGAACTAAAAGATTTCTATTCAGTCTTTGGTATTTTTGGAATTGGATGTGGACTTTCAGTTCTTGTGCTGCTTGTGGAGATTTTTCTTCATGATTTTCTTAAAAATTTAAATCTTAAGAAGTCCATTTCTTTAATATGGAATCGCACAAAAAACAGATTTGTAAAATTGAAGCAGACGCAGCCCAAAGTTCATAAAATTACTGTCCGTCCATTGAATTATGAAAATTAAGTCTGAATCAGCTTTACCAGATGACGGTTTAGAAGGCTTTTTGGGGTAATCTCCCAAAGTCTATATTAATCGACTTAGCATTGGGATGCCTCGGAGTCTCATAATCCAGCCTAAGCTTATAACTTTCCTTCTCTCCACTTCCCTGCATTAACGTTGTCTTTGTGATGTTCTAATAACACAGTTTGAAAATCAATAATTAAAAATTAAATAATAAGTTTGAACAAAAAAAAAGTACGTAATGGATTATTAACCTTCTAAAGCATTTCCAATCGCACACTAGCTTCGTAAAAAGTTCACAAAAAGGCACAATATGATTACGAAGTTTATGGATTTTTTAATGATTTTATTATTAGTGTAACTTACAATTTTCAATTGATACCATTTATTATTCTTTTTTTTGCTATCTCAGTGAAGGAAAAAAAGAATTGATAGCTTTAAAGACTGAACAGTTCCACAAATTCATTTCAATATTATCAGTTAAGGATATTAAGCCTCCTTCGTACTCCGTTTGACTCTAAAAGGTAAAGCATGGAGAGGGCCATGCTTTTTGTAAGCTGGATGAACTGCGATTCAAATTAGAATAGAATCTGTTTTCACACCCTTTAGACGTACAGTTTATAGTGAAATCCGAACCATTTGCAAGCTCTACACTCTTCAAAGACACGAGTACGTCAAAAAACCTGATGTACTCTGCAATATAGCTAGTCACAATTTGTGTTCGCAAGATGTTGCAATGAAATTATCCAGAAGCTAGTATAATTTGGCCTATACCTAGCAAAGGTGACACTTTATGTGCCAAAGACCTAGGCTTACCATCTAATTTTCATAAAAATACAGGACTTTTGGTAAAGTTTTTCGAAAAATACAGGACATAGAGTAAAATTCGAAAATTAACGGAAATTTTCGTGAAAAAAATACAGGACCTGGAACAAAGTTTTCAAATTTATACAGGACAGGGTTTTGAAATACAGGACTGTCCGTTGTAAAACTACGCAGATGGTCACCCTACAAAGACCTCAAAACTAAACCCAACACACAAACCGAGCTTCGTAACGAGACACTAAATTAATATTGAACTGTCACAAAATCTTTAAAGTCACAAACTTCATAAAAGAAGTACGACGTTTTAGGTTCCTCCCTGTAATTTTTATACTGTATAACTTCAATTAATTTTATTATATACTTTTTATTGATTTGAAATGCTTTTGTCATTTTTCCTGCAATAGTTTGATTCGTTAGCCAGAGGACATTTTCATAATAACTTGTGTAATTTTAAATAATCATTGATTTAAATATTGCAATAAAATGAAGATAAAAGTCTTTTTTGTGGTTTTTGCAACACTCTTCATTATCAACACATCCTTTACCACAAAGATGCTTATCAAAGACCAGGAATTGCCAAAAAGCATCTGTTCAATCACAAATAATGTCACAAAGTCAGCAGCTAACACACAGGATATCCTCATTGGGAATATGGACAGAAAAATATGGTCATCGACAGCCAATGATATTATCAAGTGTTTAGATGATGATAAAGCAGTTGTTGCTACAGACCTGACTAACATTATTCAAAACTTACGATTAAGGAAGGCTTCTGTTATTATTTTAATGCTGAACTAATTGAATGAGGTAAGGATGAAAAAACTTTAAATTCTACATATTTTATGTCCTTTTTAAACTTCCAATAGAACTTAATCTTGATGCTAATTTCAAAGCATTACTTCTCAACAATCTGGCATCATTTGACAACATTTATTTGCATTGTTCCTAACTTTTCAACTCCACTTCAACGCAAACAAATACTTATTAATTTCACAAATTCAGGCTCCTTTAATGTGGCAATTGTTCACATTGGAAGCACAGGTGATATAATTTATGAAACTGTAAGTTCAGATTTTAAGCTGTTAGTGCACAAAAATCCTAGAAATGGACATTTGATTTTTCCTGATAAATTGAAAGATTTGCGTGGTTTAAAATTAAGTGTCGCTGTCCATCCGCAACCACCAAGAGTCTATGTTACGCAACATACAGTAAGCACTTCAATACTTTACTTTCTTGATGCAATCGAGCAATTCATGAATGTTAAAGTTAAGCTGATTATTCTTCCTGATCATACTTATTTGAATAGCTATTGGAAGAACCGTCAACTTCATCTAACTTTAAACACTTTTCTGATTTTTAAGACAAAAGATCCTAGATTATTTATATACGAAAGGAATGGTTACTGTGCTCTGGTTCCGATTCCATCAAAAGTTCCACTTTATTATCTTATGTTCATAAAACCATTCGATGGACTCATTTGGATCCTCTTTGGAGTGTCAATTGTCAGTTCCGTAATTGTTTTGTGGATGTATCGTGGTCGTGGTGCTGTTGATTCTCATTGGCAACATACTGCTGGCATTTTCATGATGTTTATTGGTCAAGGTGCTGATTTTTCACGTCGGAATCACTTTATTCTTGCTTTTCTGCTCAACATCATCTACTTGTCTGTGTTCCTGCTTAGTAAATTATACGAGGGTGCCATAACATCTTCCACGATTGAGCCAGTCCTCAACAATCGTCTTATGACTGTCAAAGATCTTGTGGAATCTAATTATGAAGTTGTAAACGACGCTGTTTTTGCTGAGCTTGTTAAGAATTTGACAGTTTAAAACCAAGGATGAATTTAAGGAACACGAGAATACAACAAAATTTCAGCATTGAAATAACGTCCCGGCAATTTGCTTACATATTTAGATGTGATGTAGCTGAAGCAGTTATGCGGACTCGATTACATAATGGTCGTCCATTTACTGATTATTATTATATTTTACCAGACATTATTTTCTGGAACTATGTATCATTGGATGATGAATCCGTTTATTGATCGATTTCAGTACTTTATGGACTTATCATTTCAAGCTGGACTGCCTAACATGTGGAAAGTTTTTCTGAAGCAAAGTAACTCGCAATTAAAGACAAATGTTAAAGACGACAAAGTTTGATTTTCAAGCAGTTTTTATAATTTTCTTTATTTTTTGTGGACTTTCTTTGGTTGTGCTGATTGCTGAGATCTTTCATCATGATTGTCTTAACCACATTAAAATTCCAAAAATAAAAATTCGAAGCTATTGTCAAAAAATGAAGTTTTGGAAGAAAAAAAAGCCAAATTTTAAGGTTCGTAAAATTTTTATACATCGACAAGTAAGAATAACAAGGAATTCTATGAATCCAAAAGAATAAGCATAGGCTTTTGAAGTGGGTCGCACCCAAAAAAAGGGATTACATTTTATAATGCGACATAACCCGATGCTTTGTTTTTGGGGATTAGATGAAGTTTTATACTAAATCATAGTTACATTTGACCTTAGCTACTAGCTTTTTTTTATCGATTAGCTTTGACACACAGTTTACATATTTATTAAATAGTTGACACTTTTCATTTTTATAATGATACTTTTGATGAATAAATGTTCAATTTTATAAAAAACTATCAATTAATTTCTTATTTGATAATATAAGTTTGAACACGTTTGACGTAAAAACATCATTTGAAATGCTAGATTCGATAGTTTTTGTAATATTTTCAACGATTTATATAGCGAGTGCTGTAATCTTCCACAAATCGTTAACTGCTGATCAAAACTTGCCAAACAGCATCTGCAGGATCACATATGACGTCACAAGCTCAAAATCAGACACACAAGACATTTTATTTGGTAATTTGGATAGTCAAACTTGGTCATCGACTGTAAATGATATTGTAAAGTGTATTGATAATGGAACTGCTGTTGTTGTGGCAGATTTAAAGACGATAATTAAAAATAAAAATTTCAGGAAGGCTTCAGTTATTATCCTTGCCTTGAATCAGGCAAATGAGGTTAGTTTAAGGGTCGTTTATATATTTTGTAACACTAAAATTGTTTTTAAGCTGATTTTAAGCGTAAATTTTTTTGAAACTTATCTTTTGCAAATTAACAGAGCCAGATCATCCAATTAGTTTCAAAGCATTATTTCTCGACCGTTTGGCATCACATGGCAACATTTATTTGTATTGTTCCTAACTCATCAACTCTATCGCAACGCAAACTTATTTTTAAATCTTTCATGAACTTAGGATCATTAAATGTCGCAATTGTGTACACAGACACAGCAGGTGACATCATATACGAAGCTATCGGTGCTAAATTGGAACTAATTGTTCAAAAGAATCCAAAAAATGGACTTTCTTTGTTTCCTGATAAGCTTAAAGATTTGCAAGGTTTAAAAGTTGTTGTTACTGTTCATGAACAAGCACCATCAGTAATGATCAGGTCTCGTACGGTAAGCAGTCCAATGATGTATTTTCTCGATATCCTTGAGCAGTTCCTACATGTAAAATTTAAATTACATGTCCTGCATGATTATTCTGAATTGAATGTTTATCGAAAGAACCGCAAAATGCAATTGACGCTTAATACTGTGATTTATTATGAGACAAAAGATCCCAAACTTTTTACATACGAGAAGAATGGCTACTGTGCTTTGGTTCCAGTTCCATCAAAAGTTCCACTTTATCACCTAATTTTCATTAAACCATTCGATGGAGCCATTTGGATACTCTTTGGAGTTTCAATTATTGGTTCTGTTGCTGTTTGGCGGATCTATCGTGGTCGTGGTTCTGTTGATTCTCATTGTCAACTTGCTGCTGGCATTTTTATGATGTTTATCGGTCAATGTGCTGATTTTTCACGTCGGAATCGATTTATTCTTGCTTTTCTGCTCAACATTATTTGCTTGTCTGTGTTCCTGCTTAGTAATTTGTACGAGGGTGCCATAACATCCTTCATGATTGAGCCAGGTCATGAGAATCGAATCACGACTGTTAAGGATCTTGTAGCATCTAATTATGAAGTTGTAAATGATGCATTTTTTGCTGACAGCCTTAAAGATTTAAAAGAATTCGATAAATTGATACCAAGAATGAAAGTTCGTACAATCAATTTGCAAGGCAATTTCAGCACCGAAGTCACAACTCGACAATATGTCTACATATTTAGATGCGATATAGCAGACGTAGCGATGTATTCGCGCTTACCAAATGGACGTCTATTTACAGATTATTACTACATGTTGCCAGAAATTATGTCATGGAATTATGTGGAACTAGATGCAAGCTTCTTAAATCCATTTATTGAACGATTCCAAACGTTTATGGATAAGTCATTTGAAGCTGGTTTGCCTCATATGTGGAAGCTCTTCATTAAACAATTTCGTTTTGAACTTAAAAGGATTATCTTCCATGGCGTCGACATAAATTATGCATAATTTATGCATAATTTATGCACAATTTATGCATAATTTATGCACAATTATGCACAATTATGCAGAATTTGTGCATAATTTATGCAGAATTTTATGCATAATTTTTTGCATAATTTATGCATAAATTATGCATAATTTATGCAAAAATTATGCATAATTTATGCAGTATTTATGCACAATTTATGCATAAATTATGCATAATTTATGCATAAATTATGTCGACGCCATGCAAAACCTCCCTTAAAAGAAATGCTGGAAACGATGAAAAAATTCTTTTAGAATTAAGGGAATTCCATGCTGTTTATATAATTTATTTTATGCTCTGTGGACTGTCTGTTCTTGTGCTGGTTGGTGAAATATTCTTTCACGATTGCCTTAGAAGTTTTAGTTTTAAGTCTTTCGGGAGGTTCTGGCAAAAGCTGAATTATTTTAAGAGAAAAAAGCAAAAATTAAAGGTGCGCAAAATACGGGTTAGACATAAGGCCAGTCTAGAGTAAGTGTCAATGAGTTTTGGGGTTTTTGTCTCTTTTTGAACCCACGCCCATTCTTCCTTCCAAGCTCCACGGTTGCATGGTCTAGGGCAGGGAAGGGGGGGGGGGAAGTGGTAGGGGTGAATTTTAAAACTTAGTTTATGTGGAAAATTAAAAACTTTATTCACTTAAAATAAATATTTTATTGAAAATAATAGCCATGCATTTTTACTTTATGTTGATCGAGAGTCTTTTGATTCGAGAATGTTGCATCACAAAATCCAAAATCACATTTCAGTCTGTTCAACTGCGATGCTGTCTGTTCGCCATGATGCTTTCTCATGTGCTGTTCCAAATATATTGTTGCTGAGAATCCCGGCTTGTTAGGGCAAATATGACAACGGATATTCAGCCTATGACGCTCGTGCATGTACAAAATATGACGAGCAAGAAGTCTTTTAGATTTAAAGTCTTTTAAGCATGTTTGACACCTGTGCCAGTCAATAATGTGCACAGACTTCATATGATCAAAAATCAATCGTCGCGTAGGCTTCTTGACTGGACATAAATCACAAAAATACATGTCACCGGTAAAGTCAACTAAATGGACGTTCTGCTTGTGCTCACGAAGGCTACGGAAGTAAGTTTTTCCACACAAGTCACAAACTTTTGTTTTTTCTTGAACTTTTGGTTTCAGGAAGGTCTTTACGCCATTCTCATCGACACTTTCGACCAATTTTTCAGTTGCATGGAACAACTTATGTGCTGAATATGCTTCAAGGTTCTTACAGATCTTTTTACAAATTTCACACTTAATTGGCTCTTCTGATGCTGTCTTGTTGTTCTCACATATCTTAATGTGTTCCTTGTAATCGAAGGCATTCATTTGATAATAAGTCTTACATCCAGGACAGTAATGTGAACAGATCTTTGGCATTCCATGGAATCTTACGATATGAATGGCATAGCCTTTATGGGATCCAAAGACTTTTCCGCAATTTGGGACATCACATTGCCTCTCCTTTACAGGACATTTGTGCTTAAGCCAAGCGATTCGACTGAGGATTTTTTGACGACAAAAGAAGCATTCGAAGTACCTGTCCTTGTAGCTTTCTCGTTTTGACTCCTTTTGTGGCTTAACTTGTGGTTCCAATTTAGGTTCATGTTCTGGGTATGAATTTTCAATGATTGCCTGAATTTCATCATCACTCTGCAAGTTGTCCTCAAGATATTCCTCATTTTCAGGTTCGTCTTCTTCCTTAACTGTAATGTGACAAATTGCAGCATCGGAACTGCCAAAGCTTTCACTCAGCATCACAATTGACTCATGTGCTGTTGAATTGAATAGCAGAGAATGCTGGAAATCTTCAGGTTCCTCACTAATCTCAACTTTAAACCATGGAAGCGAGTCGGTTGCTTTTCTCTTAGTTTTCTGAACTTTGTGGATCTTCCTGTCAAGTTCCTCAAGTTCTGCCAGCAATTCACGCTGCTCATCATTGCATTTCTTTTTAAAATTGTAAAAATCGATGACTTTCAGCAAGCACGTCTCACAAATAATGTCACTAAATGTTGAGTTGTATTGATTGCTGCATCCCATAGCAATTAACATGTCATTCGAGTCTATTGAGTAGGAAGCTAAGACTGACATATCAATACATTTAGCATCCCTGCTGTTCATAAAACAGAATCGACAAAGATTCTTCAATTCTCTGAGTTTTTTGTACCGTAAATTAATCAGTTCTTTTTCGTGATTCATGACAGACTTTTCAGTCTCTTCGAAGAGTCGTTCAGCTTCTGGTCCGTGATATTTTTGGTATTCTTGGTTAAATGGGACCTAAAGAGAGATATGAAGGAGTTGAATTTTAGAATCAACAGGATTAAGTGTCAGTGCAGATCTATGCTTTCAAACACATCATATGGCTTGAAAACAGTCGCCCTAGCAACTTTGACATTTGTTCTAATCAAAGCCATATATGATTGAGTCGATATAAGTTTAACTGTGTCAACTGCATCAACTGTTGCTTACTCACCACAATTTTTTCTCCATTCTTATAATAAATTGTAGGAACTGAGCCCTTTTTCAGTCTTAAAGTACCTTTCGGGCCCTTTTTGAAGCACTCATCATCAAAATGTAGCTGACAGAATCTGTCTGTCAGGACTTTGTAGTTCTTTCTTCTTGTGAACTCTGACCAAAGCTAAAATAAATTTAATAAAATCTGAATTGATTTATAAAATTTCAAAAATATGTATCAAGTGCTTATTTGGATTGTTTTACAAGTTTATTTAGACACACACAAAATACGAAGATGCAATCTACATTTAAAAGACTTTATTAGGACACTGAGAACACAATTGCTAAATATTGAATTAAAACTTACTCGACCAACATCTCCAAATTTCTTTGAAACCTTCGGGAACCGAAAAAAATGCAGCGAACCTTTAGCACGAATTGATTTACAACCCAAAACCGGACAAGATTTTGTCATATTTTTTCAATTAATATTATTGCATTTATTTAATTTTTAAAATTTTTAGAATTCATTCAAGATTAAATCAAAACAAAACATTGGGAAAGTTTGAAGGGAATTATTTGCGGTTTAAATTATTTTTGACCGTTAAGTTTTTTTATTTTTTCTTTGAGTTTTTAAGGATTTTGAATAGCTTTGGATGAAACTAAATTTAAAATAATGTATTTTCTTAACATCAGTTTTTAAAATTTTACTAAAATCTCAAAAAAATTGCAAAAAATTAAAAATTTAAAATAACGGTCAAAATAAATTTGAATTTTTCAGTCACTGAATACACTTTGCAGTTCATCAACATAAAATAAGATTGTAAACACAAAAATCAAAAATTCTGAAATATTTAACAAAAACATTAAATTAGTTGACAAAAAGCATCGCAAATGACAAGACCAACTTACTGTGCAGTCCTTGGCTGTCCGTCGGTGTCAATAAAAGACAAAAGGATTCGATTTTTTAAGTTTCCAAAAGTTTCAAAGAAGTTTGGCGATACTGGGAAGGTAAATATGAAGAAATTAAGAGTTTTGTAGAATTTGGTGATTTTAGATTAGTCTAATAAGATTATAAGGATAATCTGGACTGTCTCCAGCTTGATTGCATGTATCTTTCCACTAATTGTCACGAGTTTCTGCAAATATAATTTAAATTCATGTTCAACTTATAACAATTGTGTAAGAAATCGTGGGAAAATTTGTAGAATCTGAAGATGAGATTGCAGTCATGCATGAAGCTTGAATATTTAAATGCTGGAATGTTAGCACAGTTATCTGGTCTGTGTCTTGGTTTTTATGGCAAAACTAGTCCAATCAACTTTAATAATCTGCAGAGTTAAGCTTTATCTGTCACAGCTACAGGTTGGTCACATCCAGTAACCATTCTTCATTCCTAAGATTCCATCAGATTTAGATTTTTTCCTGTTACTGTCATAAAACAGACATCAACCTAGTTAATATGTCATCAAAACTGCTTTGATGCACATTCCCAAAATTAATAAATAAATCCTCTGTATTTTTCAGCTTTGGAGAGAATTCACTAGAAAAAAAGAATCAAAAAGCTTACTATTGAGATTCTGTAGCTTACACTTTGCACCAGAATGCATAAAATATGGTCCAAAAGGAAGAACAACAATAAAGAAGGGTGCTGTACCAACAATTTATTATAAGGATGGAAATAAAGTTGTGGTAAGTAAGGAATTGTTGGACCTGGAACTAATTAATATTAAACTGAAGTAAAATCTATAAAAAGTATAAAAGAGTGTCATGAAGCTTGAAAAAAATATTTTGATACAGAACGTATTAAAGCTTTAATTGTATTCCTCTCTCCTTTAGGTCCCTTACAACGCGGACTTTCAAAAATACTACGGACCAGAAGCTGAAAATCTCTACGAAGAAACTGAAAAAGCATGTGTGAATCACGAAAAGGAACTGATAAATTTAAGATACAAAAAGGTTTGCGACTTAAAAAGTCTCTGTCGATTTTGTTTTATGAACCGAAAGGAATCGACATGCATCGAAATGTCAGCACTTGTTAACTACTCAATTGATCCTAATGACATAATTAAAGCAGTGGGCAATGAAACTCCATTCAGTCCAAAGTTCAGTGAGCTTATTTGCGAGAATTGCTTCCTCAATATTCTAGAAGTTGAAAAGTTTAGGAAAAAATGCAGCGAGAAGCAGCAAGAAATGCTGAAAGAGCTTGATGATCTTGACAAAAAGATCCTACAAGTTAAACAAAGTAAGCGAAAGTCCAGTGTCTCTATAACTCCATGGTATCAAGTAGAAATCAACAAGGAACCAGACGAGTTCAAAGATTCAATGATTTTTAATTCCATCACGTCTGACATGGCTCCATTAAATCAAAGTTTTAAGGATGATGAAACTGAAATCTCACAAGTGAATATCAAGCAGGAACCAGAGACTATGCAGAATGATTCTGATGATGATTTCAATAATTTTGATGACAATGGAGCTGCAAACTATGACAGTGATGATGGATCTGATGATTTTGCATTGAGCACTTATAAGCCTAATGGTTCAGTTGAAGTTTCTACTGAAACAAAGGTTGAAGTGAAGCATGAAGAAGATCTGGAGATCTCCGGGACATTGGATGATAAAGAACGTCGCAAAACCCCAAAAAGGAACGACAAACCGAAGCCTCAGAAATCTCCAAAACCAAAACTAGGATCACAAGTCAAAAGCAGACGTGAAACACTTCAAGATAAAACCTACGAGTGCTTCTTCTGTCGCATCAAAATCCTTGGCAAGCAAAATGTCCGTACCCACAAATGTCCAGCACGATATCGAGATTGTGAAGTTCCTGGATGTGGCAAGCGACTCAAAAATCAAGGAAATTACTCAAATCATTTGATTAAAACCCATGGACTGCCGAAAGTATGTGCTCATTACTGTCCAGGATGTAGAACTTACTATCAAATGAACACGTTCCAGTTCCAAGATCATACGAGGAGCTGTGAGAAGAACAAGGATCTTCCAGATGAGGAAATAAAATGTGAAACGTGCAGTAAAGTTTGTAAGAATCTTGAAGCTTATACAGCACATAAATTATTCCATGGAACTACGAGTCTAATTGAGACAACCGATGAGACAGGCAAGAAAGTCTTTAAGAAGCCACAAACACAAAAGGAGAGGATCTGTGACTTGTGTGGTAAAGTTTTCTCAGACAGTGAGACTCTTAGGATGCATAAAGTCAATGTCCATTTAATTGATTTCACTGGACAGATGTACTATTGTGACTTATGTCCAGTCAAAAAGCCTACAAGACGATTGATATTCGATCATATGAAGTCTGTCCATATTATTGACTGGCACCGATGTCCAACATGTGGAAAAGACTTTAAATCCAGAAGACTTCTTGCACGGCATATCCTTTACATGCACGAGCGTCATAGACTCAATATTCGATGCAACATCTGCCCAGATAAGCCTGGATTCTCAGCTAAGATTTATTTAGAGCAGCACATGAGGAAGCAGCATGGAGAAAGTGCAGCAGCTCGAGTCGGACGATTTAAATGTGATTTTGGATTCTGTGAAGCTTCTTATGCAAGTCAAAAGACACTTGAACAGCATAAGTTTAAGATGCATCAATATTATCAATATTAATAAAGGCTCAAATGTATAAAATAGTAAAATTTTCGTAAGAAATTTTTTAAATAAAGTTCTATTTATTTTTAAAACAGTATTTTCGATTTTGTGAACCCTTTTGACTTCCTTAAACCAGTGCTGGACAACCTTTTTTTGTGCCACGACACACTTTGTGGTAAACCATGACCTAAACCGCAAACAGCATACGTTTCGTGAAATATCTTATGGAACACTATAGTGCCACGGCATAAGAGTTATCCATCACTGCCCTAAACCCTTGAATTTTATCTGATATGAGCTTTTGAGGAGCACGAGTATGAATCTAGTAGTATAATCTTCACGTATGATGTTGTAAGAGAGACAACCAACAACATCGTTCTTTTCACAGATGATACAGCACTCTATCTTTATGCAGAGAACTCGGCCAATATTGTGACACATCTACAGCACAAAGGAAAAAAAGTTCAACAATACATGAACAAATGGAAGATCAACCTCAACAAACAGAAGACTCAAGCCTTATTCATCACAAACAGGCACTCCAGGCAACTTCCAGGAAATAACATCAAATTTCTCAACGAAAACATCAAATGGGAAACAGAAGCTAAATATCTGGGAATGATGATCGACAAGAGAGTGACATTAAAGCCGCATGTGGAGTATGTGACCAATAGAGCTCACACCGCATTAAGACAGCTTTATCCGCTCATCAGCAGGAACTCACAACTCGACGTACGAAACAAACTTCTCATCTACAAGCTAGCCATAAGACCAATATTCACATATGGTTGTCCAGCATTTGGAAGCATGGCAAAAACCCACCTTTAAAAACTTCAAGTACTGCAAAACAAGTTGTTGAGAATTGTACTGAAGCAAAAATACAAAGGCTTGGAAACTTTTGTGGTATTTTAAAGGCGGTATTTGGGGGTATTTAGTGGTGTTCGTATGATTAAAGAGGCATTTGGCGGTACACCGCATGGTTTCTGCGCCTGGAAAAAAACTGTCCATTGAAGACTACATCGGAAAGTTGCAAGCGAACTTCAATAGTCATCTTGCGTCAAGAAACACCGAATAAATCAAATTAAAATTCAAATCCGTAAATTAAATCAAAAATTAAGAGACAAAAGGTAAATTGAATGCCTGAAACCTCAAAAAAATGTATAAAAACTTTGTACATACTCAAATTAAATGTAAATAAATAAAAAGTTTAACTGAAGAAAAAAAAAAGATTAAAAAAAAAGTTCCCAACTCCTTCACAAAAACCACATTCAAATCTCAACGGTCAAAAATTATTCAAAAATATTTTTTTTTCTTTATCTTCACTGAACAAACTTACAAAACTCATCAACACAAAAAAATTGTAAACATTGAAATATTTTTTTTGGCTTTTTGTTGTGAAATTTAATTTAGATTCTTAAAAAAAGCAATTGAACAATGCCAGCTGTATCATATTGTGCAGTTCTTGGCTGCAGTTCAACATCCAAGGACAAGAATTGTCGGTTCTTTAAATTTCCGAAGGTTTCAAAGAAATTTGGTGACATTGGAAAGGTAAGATTAAAAGTTTTAGATGAAATTTGTAGTTTGAATGAGATTTCTGGACAGCTTTGAGGGTTCTATAAGATGAGATAAGCTGAAGCTTCTATAATAAATTGAGAGATTTGGATTCCAGCCCCAAAATTCCTTCAAATCATATAAAATCTCAAATTACACAATCGTAAAATTAGAATTAAAAATGTTCATGTCATTTCTAGCTCTGGCGAGAATTTACAAGACGAAAGAACTTTAAAAGCCTTTCCTGCAGGTTCTGTAGCTTACATTTTCGTGAAGATTGTTATAAACCCGGTCCAAAAGGAAGATTACGACTGAAGAAAGGCTCAGTTCCAACAATTTATTACAAAAATGGAGAAAAAGTCGTGGTAAGTTACATGCAAGTGATTAGAAACCACTCCATAGAGTATATCCTGATTTATGAACTTTATTAATCCTTCCTCTTTTATTTCCAGGTCCCATACAACCAAGAATACCAAAAGTACTTTGGACTAGAAGCTGAAGATCTCTATCAAGAAACTGAAAAAGCATGCGTGAACCACGAAAAGGAACTAATAAATTTTAGATACAAAAAGGTTTGCGACTTGAAAAGTCTCTGTCGATTTTGTTTTATGAACCGAAAGGAATCGACATGCATCGAAATGTCAGCACTTGTTAACTACTCAATTGATCCTAATGACATAATTAAAGCAGTGGGCAATGAAACTCCATTCAGTCCAAAGTTCAGTGAGCTTATTTGCGAGAATTGCTTCCTCAATATTCTAGAAGTTGAAAAGTTTAGGAAAAAATGCAGCGAGAAGCAGCAAGAAATGCTGAAAGAGCTTGATGATCTTGACAAAAAGATCCTACAAGTTAAACAAAGTAAGCGAAAGTCCAGTGTCTCTATAACTCCATGGTATCAAGTAGAAATCAACAAGGAACCAGACGAGTTCAAAGATTCAATGATTTTTAATTCCATCACGTCTGACATGGCTCCATTAAATCAAAGTTTTAAGGATGATGAAACTGAAATCTCACAAGTGAATATCAAGCAGGAACCAGAGACTATGCAGAATGATTCTGATGATGATTTCAATAATTTCGAAGACAATGGAGCTGCAAACTATGACAGTGATGATGGATCTGATGATTTTGCATTGAGCACTTATAAGCCTAATGGTTCAGTTGAAGTTTCTACTGAAACAAAGGTTGAAGTGAAGCATGAAGAAGATCTGGAGATCTCCGAGACATTGGATGATAAAGAACCTCGCAAAACTCCAAAAAGGAACGACAAACCGAAGCCTCAGAAATCTCCAAAACCAAAACTAGGATCACAAGTCAAAAGCAGACGTGAAACACTTCAAGATAAAACCTACGAGTGCTTCTTCTGTCGCATAAAAATCCTTGGCAAGCAAAATGTCCGTACCCACAAATGTCCAGCACGATATCGAGATTGTGAAGTTCCTGGATGTGGCAAGCGACTCAAAAATCAAGGAAATTACTCAAATCATTTGATTAAAACCCATGGACTGCCGAAAGTATGTGCTCATTACTGTCCAGGATGTAGAACTTACTATCAAATGAATACGTTCCAGTTCCAAGATCATACGAGGAGCTGTGAGAAGAACAAGGATCTTCCAGATGAGGAAATAAAATGTGAAACGTGCAGTAAAGTTTGTAAGAATCTTGAAGCTTATACAGCACATAAGTTATTCCATGGAACTACGAGTCTAATTGAGACAACCGATGAGACAGGCAAGAAAGTCTTTAAGAAGCCACAAACACAAAAGGAGAGGATCTGTGACTTGTGTGGTAAAATTTTGTCGGACGGTGAAATTCTTAGGAAGCATAAAGTCAATGTTCATTTAATTGATTTTACTGGACAGATGTACTATTGTGACTTATGTCCAGTCAAGAAGCCTACAAGACGATTGATATTCGATCATATGAAGTCTGTCCATATTATTGACTGGCACCGATGTCCAACATGTGGAAAAGACTTTAAATCCAGAAGACTTCTTGCACGGCATATTCTTTACATGCACGAGCGTCACAGACTCAACATTCGATGCAACATCTGCCCAGACAAGCCTGGATTCTCAGCTAAGATTTATTTAGAGCAGCACATGAGGAAGCAGCATGGAGAAAGTGCAGCAGCTCGAGTCGGACGATTTAAATGTGATTTTGGATTCTGTGAAGCTTCTTACGCAAGTCAGAAGACACTTGAACAGCATAAGGTTAAGATGCATCAATATTATCAATATTAACAAAAGGCTCAAAGTTATAAAATAGTAAAGTTTGCGTAATAAATTTTTAAAAAAGTTTTATTTATTTATAAAATAGTTTTTTCGATTTTTTGAACCCTTTTGACTGCCTTAAACCAGTAGTGGCCAACCTTTTTTTGTACCACGACACATTTGGTGGTAAACCATGACCCAAACCACTTACATCATACGTTTAGTGTTTATCCCAGTGTTTTAGTGGTACACTAGTGTGCCGCAGCGAAAGAGTTGGCCATCACTGCTCTTAACTCATCGATTTTATCTGATATGACCTTTTGATTAAGAATAAAGGTAGTTCTGATCCCAAAACCAAACCCTCTATGCTTAACTGAGGATAACGGTGCTTTTTTATACTTTAAGTCAACTTCTTTGCGATGGTCCATAACTGAGGGTATAGCAAGCAAGTTGCTTCTATCTTTTAGTCTAGTGTTGTCCAAACTGGGTGCCGTAGGACATCATTAGATGTGTCGTGGAAAATTGTCATAAAATCGAAGTGTGAAGTGGCTGAAAAACTTTTGGACAACACTGCTTTAGTCAGATGCCTTAGCTCTGTTCTCAAAAAGGTCCCAAATCCTTCATAAAAACCACATTCAAATCTCAACGGTCAAAAATTATTCAAAAATATTTTTTTTCTTTTTCTTCACTGAACAAACTTACAAAACTCATCAACACAAAAAAATTGTAAACATTGAAATATTTTTTTTTGTTTTTTATTGTGAAATTTAATTTAGATTCTTAAAATAAGCCATTGAACAATGCCAGCTGTATCATATTGTGCAGTTCTTGGCTGCAGTTCAACATCCAAGGACAAGAACTGTCGGTTCTTTAAATTTCCGAAGGTTTCAAAGAAATTTGGTGACATTGGAAAGGTAAGATTAAAAGTTTTAGATGAAATTTGTAGTTTGAATGAGATTGCTGGACAGCTTTGAGGGTGCTTTAAGATGGCATAATCTGAAGCTACTGTAATGAAGTGAAGGATTCGGATTTTGGCGCTCAAAATACTATATTAAATAAAATCTCAAATTACACAATCGTAAAATTGAAATTTTTTAAAGAATTTTCAACTTTTTTTGTAGCTCTGGCGTGAATTTACAAGACGAAAGAACTTTAAAAGCCTTTCCTGGAGGTTTTGTAGCTTACATTTTCCTGAAGATTGTTATAAACCCGGCCCAAAAGGAAGATTACGATTAAAAAAAGGCTCAGTTCCAACAATTTATTACAAAAATGGAGAAAAAGTCATTGTAAGTTACATGCAAGTGATTAGAAACCACCTCATAGAGTATATCCTGATTCATGAACTTTATTAATCCTTCCTCTTTTATTTCCAGGTCCCATACAACCAAGAATACCAAAAATACTATGGACCAGAAGCTGAAAGAATCTTTGAAGATACAGAAAAATCAGCAATCGACCACGAAAAGGAACTGATTTTCTTTAGATACAAAAAGCTCTTAGATCTCAAAAATCTATGTCGATTCTGCTTTATGAACAGTAAAGACTCAAAATGCATTGAAATGTCAGCCTTAATTTCATACTCAATTGACTCAGATGACATGCTGAAAGCCATGAACTGTGAAACTCAATATAATTCAGTATTTAGTGAAATTATTTGTGAAAGTTGCTTCCTTAAAATTATGGAATTTGAGAAATTTAGAAAGAAATCCAGTCAGCAGCAAAAAGAAATTCTCAACGAGCTTGAAGAACTTGACAAGAAAATTCAAAGAGTCCAAAAAACACAAAGAAAGTCCAATGACACAGTTCCATGGTACAAAGTTGAAATATCTCGCGAACCTGACAACTTTCAAAATTCAATGATTTTTAATTCTACAGCAATTGAGTCAATTCCAATTTTTAATCAAAGCTATATCAGCACAGATGGTGAAATATGTCAAGTGATGGTTAAACAGGAGCCAGATTGTGATGATCATGATGTGAATGATGACTTTATAGACGACATGTCAGTTGAGAACCAAGAAGGTGCTGATTATGACAGTGATGGCAATTCTGGTGAGTTTACACTCAGTCAGTACATCAGTAATGTAAAAATGGAGAATGTGGACGAAGATGAAGAAGACAAGGCAGCACTGAATCTCACAATTAAGGATGAAGCTCAAAGATCAAGAACCAAGCCACAAAAAGTAATAAAATCAGAAGATAAAGGCAAACGAGAAAGCTATAAGGACAGAACCTTCGAGTGTTTCTTCTGTCGACAAAAATTCCTTGGAAAGACAAATCTCCGGAAGCATCCATGTCATGTTAAGCACCGAGAATGTGAAGTTCCTGAATGTGGCAAAAAATTCCCAAATCAAGGCAGTTACGCGAATCATTTGATAAGAATTCATGGTTTACCGAAGATTTGCGCTCATTACTGTCCAGGCTGTAAGACTTACTACCAAATGAACACATTCCAATTCCAGGATCACATCCGTAGCTGTGAATTCAACAAAGACCTTCCAGAGCAGGAAATTAAATGTGAATTATGCTCAAAGGTTTGTAAGAATCTCGAGAACTATACAGCACATAAGCTGTTCCATGCGACTGAGAAGCTGGTCGAGAGTGTCGATGAGAATGGCGTTAAAGTCTTTAAGAAGCCACACGTCCAGGAAAAGGAGAAAATCTGTGACTTGTGTGGTAAAATTTTGTCAGACTACAAAAATCTCAGGAAGCATAAAGTCAATGTCCATTTGGTAGACTTTACCGGTAATATGTTCTATTGTGATTTATGTCCAGTTAAGAAACCAACGAGACGACTGATTTACAATCATATGAAGTCAGTCCACATCGTAAATTGGCATCGATGTGAAATTTGTGGAAAAGACTTTAAATCTAAGCGATTACTTGCTAGACATGTCTTGTATATGCACGAAAGACATAGACTACAAATTAGATGCCATATTTGTCCACACAAGCCTGGATTTAACGCAACTGTTTACCTAGAACAGCATATGAGGAAGCATCATGGTGAAAATTCAGCAAAAAATATTGAAAGATTCCGTTGTGATTTTGGATTTTGTGAGGCTTCTTATTCAAATATGAAGACACTCGAGCAGCACAAGATGAAGGCACATGGATTTTATTATTATCAGTAGGAATTTAGGATTAAAATTGTAGATTTAAGTAAGGATTAATAAAGATTTTTAGTAATTGATTTGAGAAGTCCTGATTTTTGCGTCAAATTCAAACTTTACTTCTGGTTGCGTGAGTCAGAAACTGAAAATAATGACAATCGTTACCTTAACGGGCATGATACACCTTCATAATCAAAGAACTTAAACATTTTAAATCTTCAAATAATTTTTTTATTCCATTGAAATTCTCAAAGTTCTACCAAAATCTTACATAAATGGCTTGTATTGAGCATGTGGACAAAGTTTTCCAGCTGGAACATTGCTGTCATCATCCTCATCGGATTCAGATTCTGATGATTCATGATTATCAATAGTTCTTGACTTTTTCATCTCTTCAGCACACTTTGGTGCTTCACGTTCCAATTCATGGATTCTGTCTCTAAGACTGCTGATTGAGTTTTGTGATTCAAGTGCTGCTTGTCCACAACGTCCAGCGCAGTTTGCTGTGAATTCTTTTGTCAACAAATCACGAGCGTTTGATTCCTTTGAGTATGCTGAGTTGATGCAGACATTGCCATCGAAACTGACTCCTTTAAGCTTCTCAAGTCCTCTGACTAATTCAATTCCGATGTTGACGAGTCCATTGTTTTCGAATGAGAGGCATTCAATGACTGTATTGACACGGAATATTGTACCTGGCAAGGTACGAATTCTGTTGCCAGCGAATGAGACCCAACGGAGCTTTGGCATCGTGACAAATAAATCAGCATCCAAAGTTTCGATTCTGTTTCTTTCCATTGACAACAACATTAATTCTTGTGAGCGTTCAAAGAATGTTTTTGGGACAACTCTGATAACATTTTCATCCAAATGAAGGTAACGGATGCGAGCGTCTAATTGCTCACCTTCAAGTGTCTCCAAACCTGATCCAATGATATGAATATGATTAATGTTCTTGTAAAAATCAAAGAATTTTCTTGGAAGTCGTGTCACAGTTTGGTGAACAATGTGAAGAACCTCAACATCATCTGGTCCTTTGCCATCCCAGTATGTGGCATTGATGCCTTCAACAAAGAAGGTTTCACGTGGAATCATGCATCTGTAGACAAGAGCTGCATATTGACGACCAAAATCGTATGTCTTATAGGTGTTTAATGATCGCAAGACGAAGCCTTTATCAGCTGATGAGATGGCGATGATCGCAAATGCAAGAAGGGCGATGAAAAATCTGGGGATAAAATTTGATGAGTTGTTGGATATTGAACAAGAAATTGAAAATTTTAAATCTCATGAGAATCTTCAGTTGTTTAAGATTCTGAGAATAATCTGAGAATTTCAGAATCTGAGAATAATCTGAGATTTTCAGAATCTGAGAATAATCTGAGAATTTCAGATTCTGAGAATATTCTGAGAATTTCAGATTCTGAGAATGATTTGAGATTTTCAGAATCAGAGATTGATCTGAGATTTTCAGATTCTGAGATTGATCTGAGATTTTCAGATTCTGAGAATGATTTGAGAATTTTACATTCTGAGAGTAATCCGAGAATTTCAGATTCTGAGAATATTCTGAGATTTTCAGATTCTGAGAAAAATCTGAGATTTTCAGATTCAGAGATTGATCTGAGATTTTCAGATTCTGAGATTGATCTGAGATTTTCAGATTCTGAGAATAATCTGAGATTTTAAGATTCTGAGAATGATCTGAGATTTTTAGATTCTGAAAACTTGAGATTCTGAGAGTAATCCAAGAATTTCAGATTCTGAGAATAATCTGGGAATATCAGATTCTGAGATTAAGAGAAAGAACCATTCAAATTTCTAAGAATAACAAAATCACTTACCTCATTTTTCACTCAAAACTAGTTCACTTTTTCTTTCAGCTAAGACGATTAGCTTCTGTGATGAACCAGAAACAAAATGAACTAAAGATTCAGTGAAGCATCAATATTTTATAGCTTTTTAATCATTTCCACCTCCATGACTATTTGAAATAGGATGTTTGGATGATAACAACAAGCATGCATTGAGCTCTATTGGAGTTGTCAGCAAATTCTCTTTGTTTGTTATCAATTTTTAACTACAAGCAGCTAGAAAGAAAACAATGCTGAGAATGTTGTTTTTACTTGAAAAGTGATGGCAATGCTAATTAATTCATACTAATTAATAAGCAACAGATTAAAATTAAATTTGAAGGAGTCATCAAAATTTGAATGGCAGATCAGAAAACACTTCCAAACAAAATAGGATGTGCTTCAACTTGTGAGTTTTTAAATGATAATGATTGAGGATAGCGAAATTGAACCTTTACTCTGATCATCAATTTGATGCTTAATCTAAGTCATACTCATCTATCATATAGTCCGGATGCTAACAAACTTTTGAAGCATTTTATAGAATTATAAAACATTGAATCTGCAGGTTGGGAGAAAGTTTATCGAAAATCACATGCCACGCCTTTTGCTGACTCAATACCAAAGCCAAAGGAAGCAATAGCTCAAAATTAAGCTTCAATGCTTTGCAATCTTACATCAATTCTAATTCTGACCAATTTGCTATTAATCGATGTCCTTTGAAACTGTAAATAATCATTTCTAATTTGTTGTTAATTTCCATCCATTGTCAAATCAGCAACTTTTAGCTTTATTGGAATGCACGTGCATACATGCACTTTGAATTTATGTCATCGAACCTTCAGGATTACAAATTGAATAATCATGAAAATTCAAATCAGCTGTTTAAGACAGAAGCTCCCTCTTTGTGTACTTCTAAACTGATTAAAATGCAGAAATAGTAGAAAGGGAACTTAATCTGAGTATAAATAATCCTTACAGCATCAATCTTGTTAGTCATAATATTTTCATCACTCAGTTGTAGCGGACATAAAATCAGGACTAGATTAAATGAGGTAAATTCAGCATTATTAAGATTTAAACTAATAATTAACTTTTAATTCCATTCCATAACAGATTCTTTATCATCTCCGCCCTCCTCATCGCCTCAGCAGCTGCTGATGGCATCGAGCAATTCAAAAGCGAAGCTTTAAAAGGAATTTCACAACAAGATGAAATTTACAGCCATGGAATTACTTTGCAATGTGACTTTGGCATGATCCGTCACTACTGGGGTGAGATGTACACATGCATCGCCCGAAATCTTGTCACACGTCATCATTATGACTACATCATGAATGCCACTGGTGATCATATGACTGGTAAGACTGACAAAGATGTTGAAGCTGTTTATATCCTTGGTCAGAGAACTAGATTCCTTCCATACAACATTTCAACACCATTCAATGGAGTTAAAGCTATTCGAGTTGAAGGTTCCGGCTTATTGTTCCTTAATCGTACATTAAAGTATGAAGGACCATTGGAATATCTCCATTTGGAGAATAATTTATTAAGAACAGTTCCATCATGGGCATTCAGAGGTCTTACTAACCTCAAATGGCTCTCACTCAGAAATAATCACATTAAATATTTGGAATCGACAATGTTCCGTGACATGAAAAGCTTACGTAGATTCTCAGCGAGCAGCAATCTTATTGAAGTCGTTCCAACTGGTTTGTTTTTCTACACACCCGAATTGGAGGAAGTGTACTTTTATAACAACAAGATCCGCATGATTGGTGGACGTTTGGTAGCTTCATTGGGTAAATTGAAGGTTGCTGTCTTTATGGGCAATCCATGCACTCAAATTTCAGTCTATGATGGTGTCAATGTCATCAGCAGATTGTCAACTGAATTTACAACAAAATGTGGTGTCAATTGTGTCAAGGCTGAAGAAGCTGCTCAAGATCACATCAAAGATTTGAGAGAGGAATTGCAAAAGAAGCAGGAATGCAGTTCAGCTATGAATGAAGTTCAGAAACAGAGAGAGTATCAAAATAGAATGCCAGCACAGCCACAATTGTCAGCTGAATCTCAGGAACATTGAGATGAATTTTTGGTTGATGAAAAAGTTTAAGGAACTGAAAAAATGCTTTTTTTGAATAAAAAATGTGAATTATATTAAAAATTTATTTTATTGGCTATTGATTTAGTCTATAATATTGGGGAATAATTGAATAATTCAAGCTATAATGCTTAGATTTGAAATTAATATTAATTATTGATCAAATGTTGTCAAATTTACAAGTCAATGTCGAGTTTGAGTTTTTGTTGAACTTTAGTTTTGAAATCTGCAAGCAATTCACCATTAAGTTCTAATTTAGAATAATTTATATTTTTCAACAATTTTCTATTAACAAATAAGTCTTTTAAATCCTCAGTTGTCAAGAAATCCAACAGCAAATCTAGAAACTTAAGAAATATTTTAGTATTCCTTGCATTACTCAAAATATCTACTGAATTGTCAAAAAGAATTGATTTTACAGTTTTGTAACTTCCTTGCTTAAGCATGACAATTACGAACTCAGCAAGATCTTCAAGATCATTTGTGAATAGTTCCGAAAAATTGTCCATTTTGTCGAATCCCTCAATGAATTTTTGAAGGTTTGGTTTTATTTTCACTAAGGTTGAGATGTCAATGACGTCATTCAGGAAAATTCTAATAAGTTTGTATTCCTGGCTTGGGAGAATCTTCATCAAAAGATCAATTTTTATGTTGTCAGGGTTGGTGCTTGGAAGCACTTTATGTTTGGTTCCTTTACCTGGCAATTTATTTCCGATATCAGTGCTAAGAAAATTCTTATTTAGAAAGTCAGCAATGAAAAAGGCGCAAAATGTCTCATTCAGGAAATAAAACTGCCCATTTTTCTTACTTATCAAGCCACAAAGGATTAAATTTTGATCCAACCATTCACTTCCATTATATCCAGGAAACAGTAAGTCCACAAATTCAGGGAACACAATCTTAATTGCATAAAAATGATGGATGTTCCAATAATTTATCTGATGAGCTTCTGTTCCAATACTTCGATCAATAACAGCTTCACATTTAAAGTTGATCCACAATTTATAATGACTGACGACTTGGTTTGTAAATATTTCAAATTTCTTCTTGTTGAGAATATTGTCAAAGTTCTTAGCAAGTATGCTGAATGCCACACAAGTAAATTTTGAGTTTTTGCTTATTGAAATGTTTTCGACGAGTTGACTTGCAAGATGTTTGTGATACTCAAGGTCTAGAGTGTTCTTGATAATATCTTTGAACTTATTCTCCAATTCATAATCATCTTTAGCTTTTATATTCTTTAGAATACCAAACTTAGCCATCAATTTTGTCCCATTAGCATTGCTAAAGTCACCCATCTTGTAGACAGTGTCAATTTCTAGTTCCTTCATTAATATTTCCTCCATATGATCTTTAGTCACAATCCACAGTTGATTTCCACCATTGTACTCGAATGATTTGATTGAGCTTAAGAAGATTTGAGATAATAAGTGTTGATTGCTTAAAATATTTGGATTAGCAACTTCGTCATATCCATCAAAAATAAAGATGACATTGCCTGAATTGTAGCGATTCATAAAGCATTCCTTGATCTTTAAATGTGATTCAATTTGAAAAAGCTTTTCAATGCAAAATGTTGAAAATTCCAAGGGTTTTGAACAGTAGACAAACTCTGTTGATGAGAAGCTAAGATTAACATATGTGACCCATTTTTTGGGGTATCTGAGTCGTAGGGTGTTGGTGATCTCTTGCACAGCCATAGTTTTTCCAGTTCCAGCAACATCTGATATCAGAACATAATGTCTGTTCTCTACATCAACTAGGAGTTCATCTTTTGATATTTCAGAGGTTTTATCATCACTCGAGTTATCAAAACTACATCCATTGTTACTACTTTTGGTAATTTTTACAAAACTTCTTGGTTCAAACAACAGCTGGAATGACTTAGACTCCATATCGTACTTTAAACTCTTATTGATTTTAATTTGAGACTTGTTTGCTATGATTTCCAAAATTTCAGTGTCTACAGTTTTTGAAAAGTCATTTAAAGTTGATGTGCCATGAGTGCTGTCAACTTCACCTGTCAAGAGCTCATAAAGAGTCAAATTCGTATGATTGTGAATGCTGAAGTCATCTTGGAGGATTAAATGCTTACTTTTCTCTGTCAATTCATTCCAGCTATATTTTATATCCATTATTGATGGATTGAACTTGAATTGTTGAAGAACTTGACTGAGCTGATGGCATCTTCCTGAATTTGGTACTAATTTGAGTTGTTGCTGATTGTCTTGTCTTGTATACGGGACTATTATAATTATTGTTGCTGATTTTTTTTCTGTTAATTTTTTCAACTCTTCTTTAAAGTCCACTGATGGTGCTACAACTGCTTTTAAATTTGAACTTTTTATAAATTCATCTCCGAAATCTTCCCACAGTTCGGTGCCAAAAATGTCGTCCTTTATGACAAAAATATTTTTTGCATTTTCTACATCCCGATATTCTTTTTGAATATACTGATAGATATTGATTTTTAACATTTTAGGCACATTGGTGCTTACTATCATCAACTTGTTGTTAGGCAATGCTTTGATGTCCTTGAATCCATTCCACAAAAACATTTGAATGACTTGATATTTGGAATTCAAGCAAAATTTAATCAAATATTTCAGAACATCCAAGTCGATTTTCTTAGGCTTCATTTTAAGGATTCGAATGATGAAGCTTGCAGCAAAGAATTCACGGTATGTCTCATGTGGGAACAGGAACTCATCTCCATCTTCAGTTTTTTTATTAAGCACGCCACAACCAACAATTTCTTCAACATTCCACGCAATCTTGTCCAATTCCAGGTCACAAAAGGAAGAGTTTTCAGGAAATAAACTTTTCATGGCACAAAACTCGTGAAGCTCTCGAAAGTTCATGTCTTCTTTTTGATTATTGATGCACTTTTGTTCTCTTAACTTTCCTTTTTCTGAGTACCATCGCTTGAAGAGATGATCAATGAATTTATCATACAAAGTATACGCTGTAAGCACTTCTGTTGAATCTTCAAACTCTATAAGGACATCTCCTATCATTTTGTACAGCTGTGGTAGACCGATGGACTTAAGGGACCAGCTTGTGATTGTTTTATGCAACCTTATTGCTGCATTTGCGTAAATTTGATATTTTGGGTGACTTTTCACTTGTCTGTCGAAGTCTTCCTCAATTTTAACTTTATTAGACATCAAATCATTCAACACGCAGTTCCTGATTATCAAATCTATTCCATCTTGATCGGTAAAGTCAGCTAATTTGTACGAGACATTTAATTTCAAATGCTTTTGCAGATCAACTTGAAAAAAGTCACGTGTTGCAATCCACAGTTGATTTCCACCATTTTCATTAAAACTTTCAATCAATTTCTTCACAACTTCCTCATAATTTGGTGAGATTTCATCGAATCCATCAAGAAGAATGCAAGCTTGACCATTTTGGTAAAGATATTTAAACATTTTTAATTCAAAGCTTTTTTTATCGTCAAAAACTTTCTCAATCATGAAGTTTAAGAAATTAAGTTTATTCCTCTTTTGAGCTTCAAATGCTTTCATAAATTGCTGTAAATTCAGGTATGTGATCCACTTTGTAGGGTGCTGATGTAGAAGTATTTTTGTGATTCTTTTCATCGCCCAGCTCTTTCCAGTTCCAGCAATGTCTGAGATTAGAAGAATCTGTTCCTTTTTGGTGTTTGTGATCAAATCTTTTTGTAGAATTTTAATAGGAATTTGGTTCTTGACATTTTTGATGAAATTTCTATCTTTGAAGATTAGGTGAAAGTTGTCATCGATCTTATGATCAATAAGGTTCGTCTGGATTGATACGTCCTTGCTCTCAGCCATTAATTTTAAAAGCTGTGCATCCACAATTTCGTTGAAATCTTCACAAATTTTAGCTTCATCTTCTGCTGATGGTTTGCCTGTCTTGTTCCATAAAATGTCGTAAATTTTAATCTTGTTGTTTTGAAAATAAATCTCAATTTGCAGCAGATGTTTTTGAGATTTTTTAGATAAGTCCTTCCATTCGTAGTCCTTTGAAGACAATGATGTGCCTGATCTTATTTGCTTAAATTTATTTCTTACTTTGTCATATTGTTCTTGTCTAGAGCAGATGAAAATAAATTTATTCAATTCATTTAACCCAATTTTTGTCAAATCTAGTTCGTCTAGACCTGTACAGTCCACAAAAATGGTAAGATTCTTAGCACTTGCTATTATTTCTGAGTATTCATTAAACATTTCATCATTATTAAGTTCGTGCAAGGTTACAAAAACATTCCAGACATTAATTAAGTTTCCATAGTCGCCTCGCAGATGATTATTCAGTTCTGAATACAAAAACATTGGAATATTCGTTAAGACCACATCAGTTCCAGTTGCATAAATTGCATCGATATTTTTCGACGATGGAAACTCAAAATTTAACTTTGAAATAGTTTTAAATATTTTCAAATCATTATTTAACTTTCTGATTCGATCTCGTTCATCTAAATCTAATGCATCTAAGTCAGGAACCACAAATTTTTCATAATATTGAAAGAGTCGCGCATACAAAATTTCAAGATCTTTAAGCTTTTCTGGATCATTAGCATAATGAGCAAAGATTTGTGGAACTCTCACAATTAACTCTGCAATCCAGTCACTTTTGTCATAATATCTATAAACCCCAGAAATAATCTTGTCGCATTTATCATCTGCCTTCTTCTTTTTGTGTGACCAACTGTCTAAAATATTTACAATTTCATTAAACATTGCCTTTCTCGCCTTGTCGTGTTTAAAGTAAGGCTCCTCATTGTTATCATAAGTTAATTTCATAACGTAGTGACACAACTCGTGTGCTAAGATTCCTTTAATTTGCTGTTCTCGATTTGGACTTGATAATTTAGCACCAACGAAGATCCATCTGTTACCAGGATACATTGATCCAAAAGTGTTTCTACTTTGCAAGGACATATGCTCAACCTGAAATTGAAGTAAGATAAAGTTAAGTTAGTTTTAAATTTTACAATAGGAAGCGATTTCTTTGATATCGGTAAGAGACATAGGCGGCATTGCAAGGCTCCCAGAATTTCCTCAAGAAAACTTGAGACATCCCTCATATTTATAATTTTTTTCCCCTTTTTTTAAAGATTAAAAGTACCATTTTTATGAAACATAGGAATCAAGGATGCAAGAATGGTTTAGTACTTCGGTACTTAATTATTGCAATTTCGACACAGCGGTCATGGGTTCAAGTCTCGGCATGGGAAATTTTTCACTTGTCCTTTTTCGCAACATATGTACTGGAAATGAGGACCACAGCGTTTTTTTGTTGGCTACAGGCAGAAATGTCATCAAAAGATTAGTTCGGATCACACTATAAATTGTAGGTCTAGGTTTGAGTGCAGTGGTTTGGCGCATCCTCACTCGTTAAACTCTCATTAGCTGCGAAACGCCCTAGCGCACCTCTGGAATCAGAATTGATCTGAATAGGTAAATGTTTTTTTTTTCAAGGGTGCGGAACTGATCAAAATGATCAAAAAAACCTTAGAACATCTTTTGCCCATATTTTTTCGAAACCGAACCAAATTAAAATCTGTTTTGTATGGGATTGTTGACATTTTTTATGGTGCCCAGCAGTAATAAGTATCTTAAAAAGAGTGCCTCACTGGAAGACTGTAGTTTTTGCTCTTGTCCAAATATCACCTTGGTATAGGAATGCAGAGTCAAAGGCATAAACGTGTGCCTAGTCAGAGGTAATACCTATTCTAAGGCACTGCCTAGAAATATGCAACATTTCGAGCCTGTGTCTAGGTACTGTCTATTTTAGGCTCTTACTCTTACTTATTGCTGTACAAACTATGTGCTTGTCACTAGATTGTGTACGGTTTATCATCAAGTTGTATTTAAGCTTAAGAATTGGAGATACAAAGAAGTTTCAAGCCCCGCGCACAAAAACGTGGAAAATTTTTCATTAAATTAATTAAAGTGTCCAAGTCGTTATTAGTTGAAAAAACCTTCTTACTTAGTGCCAAGGGTTGTGTTTTCCTCAAGGACAATGAGGAAAGCCAAAAGAAAGCAAGATTTGTCGCCAAAAATTGATTTGGACGAAAGTTCAATCAAATCTAATGAAAATTCCAAGAAGAGGAAGCAAACGCCTCAGAAAGAGGAATCATCGGTTCCAGTCACAACAACAACTTCAGTCAAGCCAATATTTGTGCAATGCAGTCTCAAGGATGTGAGAAAATTAATTTCACTATTGAAATTGCAGGTTATGCCTGCATATAAAATTTCATCATCAAATACAACTCAAGTAATTGTCAAGTCTATTGAGGATAAGGCCTCAATAATAAACCTTCTGCGGTCTCAAACTATTCAATTTCACACCTTCTCCGAGAAATCGGAGAAAACAAAGTCATTCGTGTTGAAAGGATTTTACGAAACACCAACGAATGAAGTACTAAGATTACTTCAAGAAGCCAAGGTTTCAGCTGTCAAAGTGACAATTCTCGTCAAGAAGCCCGAGTTCACCTTTTATCTTGTGCATTTTCAAGATGAAAGTGTGAACATCAACGTGCTCAATCATAACCACCGTAACATCGACAACATCATCGTCAAGTGGGAGAACATCAAGAAGGGCAACAAAAGCCCAACGCAGTGCTTCAACTGCCAACGTTGGGGTCACTCATCTCAAAATTGTGGATATAAATTCCGATGCGTCAAGTGCACGGAAGTTCACGGACCAAATCAATGTCAACGATCCACTCGTGATGGAAATGCCAAGTGCATTAATTGCAATGGCGATCATTCTGCCAGTTATAGACTGTGCCCATCGTTCATTTCGTATTCCAAAAGAATCGAAAAGTCAAGAGCCAAACCACAACTCAAAATGCTGCCACAGATATCAAGTCTTTTGGACAGTAACAATTTTCCATCGTTAAGCAAACGACATCAAGTTTCTGCTCATTCACATCCAGTGAATGCTGCAAGTAACTCATCAGCAACATTTAAAGAAGAGATTAATCAGCAACAACTGATCAATAATATCAGTTATGCAGAGAAACTCAACGAAGCAGTAAAGAATGAAAGCCTTTTCAAGAAATTCACAGAAGCTCAAGAACGTCTAAAGAGAATCCCCAACATTGAGGAAGCAATAAATCAGTTCTGCAGTTTCGTAGACGAAGTCGGAAAGATCCCAAAGGATGCACCTCAAGGAACTGCATTTAAAATCATGGTGAAGTATGGCTTCATTGGCTGCCCACCAGCACCGAACAAGCCAGTTCAAAAATAATTTATTAACGTAGTCCATAAGCTTAAAAAAAAGCTTTTTTTTTCTCGCTCGGCAACTTTTTTTAAACTTTTTATGCCACATTTTCATGATATATGTAAATCTCATTCATCAAAATTAATAATTAATCAAGATATAGTTGAATTAAAGCCATATTCAGGCTGGTGTCAAAATAAGACGCAAAGAAATGTAATTTAAACTACAATAATTCCAAATTTGAAATAAAGAAAGATTTGTTAAGAATTGGATAACACTGCTCTAACCCATTGATGGTCTGTTCATGCACCGTGAAAAAATTTAATTAAATCCAACGAACCATGTGCCACATACGGCCGTCATGGCTTCGCATCAAGACGTGCCGTGATATAAAAAAGGTTGTCCACCACTGTTCTAACCAAAAAGTAAATCAAACTTACCGAATCACTGTTAAAATCAAATACAATTCTTAATTGTCGACACATTGATGCAACACGAAGAAGTGATGAGCCAAATTTGGAAGCAAATATGTCTTTATACCATATTTTGTAAATCTCTTCAAATCTTGCTACGTCTTCTGATTTTGCCTTTCTGTCATGAATCGATGATCGTTCCCATAAAAGATAAACTGGACCTCTGCTGTCTACAATTGAATTTTTGACATTTTCACTTCGCTGTTCCTTTTCGATCTTTCTTGCTTTTTTCAGCTCATCTCCTTCAATAATTTGACTAATGTCATCAAATTCAAGTGCTTGATATCCAAGTGATTTGAGGTAAAAGCAGGTTTTGTATTGTTTCTTAATAAGAGCATGATATAAAGTAGATTCATTGTCGAAATTATAAACTTTACTGAGATTTCGATTATTGTCAGTAAATTTAGAAAGTTCAACAATGTTAAGCTTATCTGAAGCGACATCTTTAAAAAATTTCTTTCTTTCTTCCACTTCTTTGTTGAATCTTTCATTTTCTGTTGGATCAGGTTTAAAATTCTCAGGAAATGGAAAGTCACAAAATTCAACCAAGTCACACAAGACTTCATACTGCTTTTCCTTAAATGCAGCAGTTGAAACTTGAACTTGATGCTCAAATGGAAGTTGTTGAATTAAATGTCCACAATATGATGTCAAATAGTCTATGATCTGTTCATTTTTGGAAGCAACAGCTGCTGACAAGACAGATTGATTTACTTTATTCTTGTTTTTACTGGATTTATGTTCATCCTTAATTGATATTGTATATTTTATCGAATTTTCAGCTTCACAACTTAACATTCTTCCATCTTTTTCTAATGGAGCATTAATCGCAGCTAAAAGATCTCCTTTGGATCCTTCTGATGCACACTTAAGGATTAATTGTTTGTAAAATTTCTTTGACATGTTCAATGTTCTCAAGAATCTAATAATTAATGCAGAATCTGTAACTTTTGGTAATCTTTCCAGCATCAGTTGTTCAAAATTCATAATTTTCGATGTAAAAATGGTCTGAAGAAATGTTGGAAAATCATTAAATAATTGATCATCAACATCAAACTGATCAATTTCTTCAAAACCTGCATTTTCCTTCTTGTAGTAAATTGTGCTTGAGTTATTTTTCGTTATTTCAATTTGTAGAATAATTAGACGTGCTTCAGTCAGTTCTCGCAAGCATTTATGCAAGTCAATAATTTGCGATTTTGTCACATCTTCAACTTTAATAGTAAATATGAATAAATTTGGACATTGCTCGACATCCAGTTCAGATATTTTTGCTAAATCATCCTCGAAAATGAAATTTGATGGAAATTTTAAAACTTTGCAAGTCCTAAGTGCCTCGATATCATCAATATTGTCAATTGTAAGGACAAACTTGTCATGAATTGATGTAAGAATGTCAAATGTTGATAGCTGATCGACTTGATTAGGTTGAGTTGAACTTGATTGACTGTTTAAATTAAATGCATTGACGAATTTGTTTTTCAGATGAATAATTGTCTTCATGATGATGATTCAAAGCTCTAAAAATGAGTCAAATCTTTAAATTTGTTTATTTTTTCAAAAAAAAAACATAGTTTTTGCTTCGTCGTATAACAAAAGTTATTTTAATGACTGAGTCATCATCAATGTTATAATAAGAAGATGATAATATCAGCTACGCGGCAAAAACTACGCGTTAATCTTGACACAACAACAACAAATTCTAAAGACGGAATTTTTCCAAATTCTTTTAATAATATCAACAGCTTAATAAAATGACATCGATCACATCACTTACTTAAGCATCATTTATCACCAGTTGACTACTTAATGTGCTTTTGAATCTTTAAAACACAAAATAACTTTATTTTTCTTTGACACGATCGTGTTCAACAAAGAATATAAACAATATTTTTTTTTGGATATAATAAGAAGAACATCCAAACTTGAAACGAGAGAGATTATTCTCTCAATTTAGTTCACTTAAGAGTCTGTCGAACTAAGCATTTTTGAGCTGGACAGTCCCGATTTTTAGCGCATTTTTGAAACTTGTTTCTTATTCGGCTGTTTGGCTGCTCGGGCGAAGAAAAACTTTTTAACCAGACATCGTAGAGAGCTCGGGTTTGTTTTATTAGCTCCGTTACTATCGATTTATCGACCCATCGAATGCTTAAAAGTCTTTAAATCATGTATTTATACTATAATTAATGATTTTTATTTTGTTTTCAGTGTAACCTGCCCAAATTTTATTTTACCTGTATAATTTCAAATTTTTTCCAGCCGTTGTAAAATTTGAATTTCAAAAAACCGTTAAATTATAAAGTCTTTCTATATGGAAATTCATTGTAATTATTTGTTAATTACTCTAAAATTAATGATCTTCTAATCTGAAACAAACGTGAACGCAAAATAATTAGTTGTCAAATACTGATCGCCAACACAAAAATGCGCTTAAGTCCCTCGATCAATGACACGAGGACTTCTGTAATTTTTTAATAAGGTCTTACTTGCAATCCTTAATTTCCCGCTAATTTGATTCTGTTTTTTTTTTGTTTTTTGGAAAATGCTTGAAAATTTGATCTTTCCCCGTTTTTTTGAGCTGAAATCGTGACATGTCCAGCTGACAAAAACAGATGAGCAGTCTTTTTAAACGAATTGTGCAAACTAGTCAGCGTTTTTCCTTACTGCTTACTTACTCTGTAATCGAACGTCATTTTGTGTTGGATTTGCATGTAAAAACTTTTGCATTTAATCCAAACTCATTCTTAATTGAGAGCGTTTTTGTTTATTTTACTGATTTATTCGTTATTAAATAAAGGTCTGATGGCTAGATTTTAGATAAGAAGTTTGTTTCGGACGTCGAGTTGTGAGTTCCTGTTAATGAGCGGATAAAGCTGTCTTAATGCGGTGTGAGCTCTATTGGTCACATACTCCACATGCGGCTTTAATGTTACTCTCTTGTCGATCACCATTCCCAGATATTTTGCTTCTGTTTCCCATTTGATGTTTTCGTTGAGAAATTTGATGTTATTTCCTGGAAGTTGTCTGGAGTGCCTGTTTGTGATGAAAAAGGCTTGAGTCTTCTGTTTGTTGAGTTTGATCTTCCATTTGTTCATGTTTTGTTGAACTTTTCTTTCTGTACGATCGAAAATCTTGTGAATAGGCCAAGATTTGCTCAGTATATGTTTGACGCTATAATGTTTGGCGAGTGAGCTGAGCTTTACTCAGCATATGTTTGAAGGTTTAAATGCGTACAGATTTAAAGATTGGCGAGCCTCATCCCTTTATAATTGTTACGTAATAAATAAACAAACCCTTGCTAAACAAAAGATTACACAAAATTTTATTTACCAATTTTCTATTAAACTTTTTGTATCTAAAAGCATGAAATAAAAAATATAAAAAAAGATGATTAATCTGAACTTTCTTGTTTTAATTATAACTCTCCAGCTAGAGTACATGATCGACAGCAAAATTTGCCATAATACTTGTAGTTGCAATATTTGCCTTTAACAATAAGTTCACAATTTGCAAAATTTTTGTTATCTGTGCAATCAGATGGAATTTTAATGTTGTTTGATTCTGAAATTTTAAGAATATAAAAAGGGTTAGTGAATAAATTTTAAGGCGTAGCTAAAAAAGTTTATGAGTAAGATGTTCCTATCTGCATTTCAAGGTTTGAATGGCTACTATTACAAAGGATGGTTTCTGGTGTTGACAAAGGTTCCGTACCTTAACTTTGGCGAATGAATAAAGTTTTAATTTTACCAGAGAAGGTTGCTTTGAGTAGCTTTAGCCATCATTTGGGTAAAAACTTGAGGAAGAAAAGATATGTCATAACTATGTAGGTGTATTTGGAATACAATTAGCCCTTCACAGGCGCGTAGTCAGGAGAGTCTGCCACCCCCCCCCCCCCCCGCCCCCCTCCTTAAACGTTTTGAACCGCAGCGAGAGCAAGGCCCTAAAACGCTTAAGAGGGGGACAAGACCCTCCTGGCTATGCGCCTGGCCCTTTCCTTTAAAATTTCTTCTCAAATTCCTGGCTACGCCCCTGGTGATATCTGAATTAAGAACTGCATTAAATCATATTTTATAAAGTTACCTTCAAAAGTTGATAATCTTTCTGTCGACGTATTAACACAAGCTGATTCACATTCCTGACTAGTTTCAAAACGATTTGGACTTCCACCACATCCACCATAGCTATAATAAAATTAAATACAGAAATAAATTGTGATGATGTGATTATTGAACTTTGTAATTCTTATCCTTACTAAAATGCCCTGCATGAACGGCTATCCTTATCGTAGCTATAATTTATCACATATTCGTCACAACTGCCTTCGTCTTGAGGATAGGAACAAATATTATTGCTTGAACTGGAGATTTATTGGAAAAAATTAATATTTTGTAACTTTAATTAAAACTTTTAAGCATATCGAGAACTTCATTTAGGAATGCTACCATAAAATTTTGAGGTTTATAAAAGTTTTAGTAATTTTTTTAAGATTCTCGACATAATGGCACTTTCCTCCTCTTGGTACATTACAAATTTGCTCAAAACTCTGTTTCACCTTAACCATTTTCTTTGGCATTGACCAAAACCAGGCAAGAAACCACAATAAACGTTCTTATGAGACAATAATTTTAATAAATCCCTCATCATACCTGTCCATAGTTGTGTACTCAAACACCTCTTTCGTAACTAAATGTTCATCATTAAGTTGTGAAGTTATATTTTGAACTTGATTTGCCTTTTGCTTTTGAATCAAAATCTCTTGAAGTGTCTTGATCATCTGGTTCACAGCATTTTCTGACAAGCTTTGAGTTAAGTCATTCATGAATGATTTTAAATGATTAATCGACCAATTTGAGGAACTAGCAACTTCAATTGTATCGAAAGTTATCCATTCGTTAAAATTCAAAACATCCGTTAAGACTGAATGAATTGCTGTATTGCAATCATTTATGACACTCATCAGTGAAGACGAAACAATTCCACGAAGATAGTAAGTTCCAGCATATTTAACATACAGACCACTTCCACTATCACCCGTGCATGTTCCAGTTCCATTTGCATTGCCACCACAAAATGCTCGATTGCTTAATAAAGGCACAAGATCAGTGTAATTTTCAGAACAATTTCGATGATAAATTATTGGACTTTCAATTGATTTTGGAGTCTTTTCATGATATTTACTTTCATCCTCACTTTTTCCATATCCAACAATCACTCCATGATTAATCATTGCGACCCTTGATTGAGAGTTAATCAAACAAATCGGCTGAATATGGACACTAAATTGAACTTCATTCTCCAATTCCAGAACTGCAATGTCAGCGTCAAATGTTGCAGCAAATGGATTCCAGTCGGGATGAATATGAATTTTTCTTACAATGGCAGTAACTCTACCAGCTTCCATTGAGTCATCTAAGTCATGCACGCCAAGTAAAACTTTTACATCTCGTGGCAGCATCGGGGCTTTATTATTTTTTTGTAGAATGCAATGAGCAGCTTGAGTTAAAGGATCTAATTAATATTTTGATGACTACTTTGAATTGATATGTTCATACCTGAAACAACTTTTGTACTTGTTATTAAGGATCCACCACAGAAAAACTTTCCATCAATGGTCATTAATGCTGCAAGCCTAATATGAGTTTTTATAAATGTCATAATTTAACGAACAATAAGGAAAGAGAAGCTTATGAAGGATGCAAGGGGGGGGGGGTGCATTTGAACATTCTATTAATAAATTTTCTATTTTGCCCCGGACGGCTACGTTAGTTGATTTAATCACTAAATTTAAAAAAGTTTGACCTTTAAGGGGGTGAACAGCTAACTGAAAAATATTTTACGCTTAACTTACAACAAATGCATCAAAATTTTGAACTAAAACAGCTGTTATCCCCTTATGAGCTACCAACCTAGCGAACCTCCTTATGCACTACCAAAGAAAGATTTAAAATTACCATGGAAAGCTTCCGCGAATGACATTTTTTCCTCCGATAATGGTTCCAAGTCCAATGACAGGCTTGCCACAAGATTGTGCATTAATTTTGTAATTCAAGCACGAAAAAATTATTAAAAGATGAAGTTGTTTATAAAACATAATTAAAAGCTTTATATTCTATAACTTTAGTTCCTTATCAAAGTTACTTTCTCAAGCTGAGAATAATTACTGATGATCGAAATGGATTAGCTATTATGAAAATCAACAATTCTCTCAATAATAGGATTTTATAATGTGTAGCTTCAAATCTAGATGGCGTTTGCTATTATAAATTGAAATTTTGTGTGATTTGATTTCGATCAAGTTTAATTTTTATTAGTTTCGGCCAAGACTCGAAGATTATCTTAAAAATTGTTGAGATTTCAGTTTTATTCAAAATTAAAATTCACCAAGTATTACAGGTTTAAAAATCACAATAGATTATTGAATGACAGCTTTATATTGCTCAGATTCAAGAGTTTAAGGTTGTTCTAATCTTTATAGACATTTTTTGGGAGATAACTGATGTGATAGTTGTGCAGTGACATCACAACCGCAATTTTAAAGTCAACCATTGGCACCTGCTTAAGCATAAACAGCACTTTACAGCAAAGGATAACATGAGGACATAAAAGCTTTCTTGTCAGTCAATGAGAAGAAATCTATCGAAATACTCAATCTTCATAAGAATGACTTAAGGTCAGAGGGCGAAGCCGAGCTTAGTCGACTAAAATCGGCTTAGCCGGTTTTAGTCGACTATAGAATTAACGGTTTTTCCTTAGTCCTTAGTCGACTAAAACCGGCTAAAGTCAACTAAAGCCGCGACTAAGATCGACTAAAGAAGGATTTTTTGGCTTGTGAAGTATAAAAATTTCATACAAAATTTCTCTTATTTT